CACAACGAAAGGGACTCGAACCCCCCGACTAAGACTAAACTTAGATTTTAGACAGGACTCTAACCGTGTCACAACTGAAGACTCTAACTTCAGCCTAAGACTCTAACTTAGGATTTATTTCCAACAGCCTGGATTAGAATGATCAGCACCGTCACCAGCTGGCAGCCAAACATGCACTGCACCCACAAGTGCCTCTCGGATTCACCACTGAAGCATAGAAAGTCAAATATTAAACAAGTTACCGTTTGTTTTCGTGTGAAAATCCCGAGAGGCGACGGTTGAAACTCAGCACGTCCGGTCAGTCCGCCCGTCCAGAGATATGGGAAAGCGACGAGATTGGTTTTTGAATCCCGGGTGATCAGCCCCCAACCCGGACCTGTGCGTTCCAACGGTCAGCCTCCGGAGCCACTTCTGACACCAAATTGTTATGGGAATTCTGATGCTTCAAATGAAATAATTCCGAGAGGAAACAAACTTGTCCTTTTGTGCAGTTTATTCACAGAAGTGATGAGTACAAAAATGACATTTCTGCGCAGAAAGGAGCCAGACAGAAACGGGACCTGGACCGATGCCGTGTCTGTCTGTTTCCCCAAAAGCGTGTCTATGATCTTATACTGGAGGTGTGTCAGACAGAACAATGAGCATTCGTCACAAGAGAGATGAGTCATACGCGGCTGCAGACGGGAAAGTTTGGGAGATACATTAAGCGCAGAAGAGGACCTTCGAATTTGATAAGAGGGAACACGCTGTGAGTACATTTGAGATACGCACCTGCAGATGGTGACCAAGGCTATCGCTGAACAAGAGGCCCTTTGTGCTAATGTTTCAAACAGTGATGGGAAGCAGTTTCAGACGCTGGGAAACAAGACGCATGTATCGACCTAAATGATTAGAATATCTTGTGCCGGGAGCTGACCATAACAAAACTAAACGTGTGTATATTGTATTTTTTGTATAGTGTTTTCCTTTGTTTTTAGGAGCATGAACAATAAGACACGGCCTTCAACATGCTCCTCTTCTGACATGTGAACTGTACAGTTTGATCATTTTGTTAAACACATGTAAGAAAGAATAAAGTGTATATACACTGAAGTAGACAAGAGAAAAGCTGACAAAAAGGCCCCGCAGCCTCCAAGGACAGAAATGACCAAAACCACTGCTGACGCTGCTTTTCCCATCAATCAACATGAATGAGAGATTTGGCTCATTGATCGAAGGCTCCCATAGGAAGCTGCCTGTGTGATGTCACACACTGTTCTTAGCTGTGTAAACATCGCACAGAGCCACAGGAAGGTCAAGCACTTGCTAATGAAATGTTCAAGCACAGACCTTTTCCATAAATCAAAGTTGAAAAAGCGGAAACGGACGGATTCGATAGTTACCAAACGGAGTCAGATCACTGAGTTCTTGACACTTTTTAAAATTTGATAAGAAAAATATGAATAGGGCTTTTCTGTGTTCAGCCAAGGGAAATATCAACCATTTCAAACATGGTCCTTCACTGCCCCCTGGTGGTTCGGTTTGGAAGTGTGAGAGCTTGTATCCCAAATTGAACCCAGTAAAATGAACACAATGTTAGCTCTGAGGCTTTCATAATTATCCACACAAACACAACTAAAGCTGACTGCGGGCCCCTGTTTCCACCCGGATATGTTGTTCACATCGTCATAAAATAATATCAAAATAAAGATTATATTTAAACCATGCGTTTTTCAAAGAGAGTCTCTCTTAACTCTTCTCTAAGTTACACCGAGAGAAGAGAAGATTTGGTCGTTTTTGGTTTTAATTACAACACTGCTAAATGTTCACACTATTATATATTTTGGTTGTTTAATTAGATTTAGAGGAAACTGTAGAACTGTTGATATATACTTATTTATTCATTTACTTATTTGATTGGGACAAGTGTACACGATCAACATGTGAAACACTACAGCATTTACAGCTAAGGCTAATTTGCAATGTTCATTCACATTATACAAAAGCATTAAATTAAACTCATTAATGATCACACAACTGATTTGTTTTAAAGAAGAAAACAAGAAATTGCTTTAGTTTGTGTTTAAAACCAGCCCTGTCAGAGTTCAGTTTTAACTAAGGGCTTAAAGTGTTCCAGAGCTTTGCCCCCTGGACGGAGATGACCGACTGTCCGAATGTGGTTCTCCTTTTACATTCCTGTTAGAGGAGCCTCATGTGATGGACCTCAGAGAAACTATGAGAGCACTCAGCACAGCAGGAGCTCGACTGTATGCATTTGACATTATATATAAATAGTGCTTTACTTTCCTTGTGCAAAAATCCCAAAGCAGGGTGGAAAAATAAATGATTCACTAATCACTGAGTCAAACCATTATTTGTAGTTTTTATACTAAATCTTCTGATAACGTTATCCAAATGAACATGTAAAATGTGTCCACGATCATCATATGTCAGACATACAGTATGTCTTATTTCAACAGATAAAAGACCAACATTGTTTATCGGCTTAACCCAAATATTACAGAACAGATTCAACAAATGCCTCACTCGGTGGAATTGAAAAAATAAAAAAATCAAAGTCCTAAACAAAAAAAAAGACTTTTTAAAAGTTCTTTTTTGAACACTCAAATACATGTCATTATTCATTCACTCCATACACGGTGGTGATAAACTACTACTGTAGCCACAGCTGTCCTGGGGCACACGGACAGAAGCGAGGCAACCAGTATGTGCCATCGGCCCCTCCGATCACCACCAACCATTCACACACACACCACACTCATTCTAGGCAATGGGGGTGAAGTGTCTTGCCTAAGGACACAACAGCAGTTTGGCACTTTACAGCGGCAGCCGCCCCACTGTGGCATCAGGTGTTCCCAGAGGTTAAGTGTCTTGCCAAGGACACAACGACAGCAGAATGTGGGAGTCGATGGTCGGGCTCAAACCCACGATCCTCTGGCTCAAAGGCCAATGCTCTACCAACTGAGCTACTGTCACCCGAAGATAAAATGATAATAATAAATTGTGTTTGTCCTAACACAAAGAGCACAACATGCTGTCCATGACCTATAAGAAAACATGTAACTGTTGCATACTTGTGAGTCACTATTGGACTCTCTGGGCTGAGCGTGGTCCTAAAGTATGTTGCATGTTTTGTGGTGTGAGTTTGGGACACAGTTCAGCTTTTTGGGTGTGTTCTTACGGCATTATTAGCAAATTTGTGACTGTAGTGCCCCTGAAAGTCAGAACATTCATAACATCACAGGAACAACTGGTCCCTTGAAAGAAACTAAAGTAAGTGTAGTCCACCGTAGATTTGAAAGTTTTGTCAAATTGTCCACGGGTTGTGTTTGAAATCAATCAAAATTGACCTGAACCACCCACTAGAGCAGATGTGAGACTTAAGTCACACAATGAGAAAAGAAACCAAGAGTAAAGTGAAGGCGTAGCAGCAGCTGTGGAGCTCTGATCAATATCCCTGGACAGTGGGTGTGAGGAACCTGTCGACCGATGTAAACGTCTGTGGTGAATAATTATGGAGACACATTAATTCAGAGCCGTTATCACCTTTATTTGACAGATTAAAATATGTTTCGGTTTCAAATAAACACAGAGTATCTAGAAAGCAGAAGCAGAGAAGTCAAGAGAAACCAGACTGCCAATAAATAACTGGGTTAGGGTTAGGGTTACAGCCTTTTGAAGAGAAACTTACAGAACATTCTATAACATTTATAATGGGTCTACCAAAAAAAAAAAAAATTAAAGATGTCAAAAAGTGTGCTCACAATAACGTTCTGGCTCTGGTTCAACAGTAGAAATACACATTCCCATCTCTTGGTAACACATAAAGCTGTTCCATTAGTGCAGCAGCGCCCTCTGCTGGAGGGTTGTATAACACACATAAGGCACACAGATGCCTACACACTGACTGAACAATTGTGGAGATTATGTAGGATTCTCAAAACCATTGAGACTGAAATATCCAGAAATGAAGGAATTAAAGCATGTATTTAAACCCTCTGAACAAAAGACGAAAATAAAAGTGGAAAAGCAGAAGTTTATAAACTTCATTGTCGATGAAGAGTGAACGTGGAACACATTTAAGTTTGTCATTATTTTAGGTCAGAATGTTGGAAACACTGAGTTAGTCATTCTAAATCATTTAAATTGACATGTCATATGTAATAATGCAAATAGTGCAAAACATGCAGCCAGTCTCATAAGTTTACATACGCCATTTTCACTTTATTTTTCAAATCATGAATCAATAGAAACTAAATGGCTTCACTTAATCACGGCTCATGAAAAAAATCACATCATTCATATTCTCTGGAAATGCCAAAGAAATCCTACATTCTCCCAATGTATGCAACGTTTTGGCAACAAAGTCATTCCAAAAATACCCTCATCTGCTGATAATGCAAAACATGCATTTGTCATAAATTGTTAGTCGTTATACAGATATACGATCCATGAAAACACAGGAATTCAGTCTTGTCTGGGAGAGTCAAGTCATTTCACAAAATAAAGTACATGGCAATAACCAAGCACTTTGAGGTGCCATGGAGACGACCTTGCTTTTTCTGGAATTGTCCGTAATATCATACAGACAGACTGGTAGTTGTGGTCTTTTTAGCCAAGTAAAAAAGGTTAAATCTGGGGGACATAAGTGTTGCACCACAAAGATAGAACAATGTGAGGTCATCCATTAAACAAGTTCAGATCGTTCTAAAAGGAAATGAAAATGAGAGGACCACCCACTCAGCTTTCAGCCACAGTGACTCAGGGCTCTTTCTTAAAACAGACAACACGATTCTTCATTCATTTTGTCTTCGGATTTTACTTTTACAACTGTTTCTGTTGCACAAACAGTCTGTTGTTTTCTGGTCTTTGTTTTAATTTTGTGCATCTCCATGAAGCAGTGTCCCCATCAGAAAAATCCCACAGTGCACCTACTCCTGGTTTTCTTCAATACTGTGTGGTTTGCATGAGCTGCTCCTACAGTCCGTGTGACGATGGTGTCAAAGATGCGCCTGCCTCGTCATGTTCCGTCTGTGGATTTCATTTAAAACCACATCACTGTTGGATTCGTCAAAGATTCCACTGTCCGCGTACACCGAGCCTGGAAGACAAGAGCATCCGGGTTTCAAAAGTAGGGCCAGTTTTTTGGCTTTTTCATACATTGAATACTTTAATACTACTATATAATATAATAATATAACAAAATGATGCATTAGTAAACATTAGGGAGGCACCGCTCCAGCTTTTTAAAGTCTGATTCCGAACCTAATACTATGGCTCCAATGGACCCCGAAAGGAGCAATACCACTGAGGGGTTTTAAAGTCTCTGTTCCTGAGGTGAGGACAGAAATACTGTCAGAGTTAAAGTGAACCTACTGTGTTCAACAATCTGGGCCAGTTTTATCAAGTGAAAATAAGGACCTACTCAAGATTTCATCAAAATGTACAATATCGGTGCCAAGATCCAATGCCGTTATCGTGCTGCCTACCTAGTAAAGGTAATCACTACAAAGTGCTGACAAAGCAGTAGATCACAGTAGCAAGCAACAGGTGTCACAATGACCACACAACACTGCACAACATATTTGAAAGGACAGCTTTGAAAGATGACCAGAAAACCATCTTAACACAGGCATAAGCTTTCATAGATGAACGTCAGTAATAAAATCTCTGATGCTGGAGAGAGTTACCGCTGCTGTTGGCCTCGCTGACCACAGAGCTGCTGCTGGACGCCAAGTGAGCAGCCGAAGACGATATCACGGTGAAGGACGTGGCTTTGCGAGTGTGAGTGGCCGTTCGGCTCCAGTCTGGAACACACCATGACAGTATTATATTTCAATCTGGAGAAACTCATCAGACAACACATGGGCATCATTAGAATTGTATATTGGCTGGCAGTAATCTGACACTACTTTACATTACATTACACACACTTTGAATAGTGCAACAATAAGCAGGATCTCAGAGGAACTAGAAATGCTAAGGAGCATTTTTAATAACAACCTGGTTTGTGTTTTGTCCCATTTCAGGTCATTAGACAGAGTTAAACCTAAAAACTTGGCTCGTCTGGAATCTGCACATGGGTTATCAATGGAATGGAAAGGGAAAATGTATTTGTACTCATAGAACAGCCTGACAGCAGATAACTGTTCGGCTGTCAGGACGTGGGTGTGGCTTGCCATGATAAAAACTGCACTAAACCCAAGAAATGAGTGATGAAGAATATGGACAGCATCCAGGACTGAGAATGTATAGAAATAACTACATTCTAACAAATGTGTCTGATCTATAGCTTTGTCGCTGTTAGCATGCTAGTTGTTGTTAACAGTGATGACTAAATGTTAATCGTTAAGAGTCAACAATCAGAAAGGAAGAAATGGGTTTGGATTCATTCAAAACTCTTTAAAATAAAATCATAAATAGACAAGCCACAAGTCTATTTGTCATATGATTCATAAGAGAAGAGAACCAGCTTCGTGCCACAGTGGGGAAATGTCAATGTAAGTAGTTAAAAGAAGCAAATATCAGTAACATTCTCAGAGTTAGAGCGTTGAAAGACAGACCTGAGTTTTCTGCCAGCCTCAGTTTACCACAGCACAGATACGTCCTCCACTGTCTTTGGACATTCTCCTTTATGGCACAGTGGAACACAAAGATAAAGAAACCTGTCCAAGAAATACACAAACAAACATGTCTTCAATAAATTCCAGTGGCAAAAATATATCAAAAATATTGTCATAAAAGAAGACCCAGATGAAGTTAATCATCGGGTTATTTATATTTGGAAAATCTGTGAATAATTTCAGTAAAAACACTGTCGCAGAGGCCAGAACAGTGACAAGAATCCAATATGCGAGAGTGAGATTGACGCGCACATCCAATTCTAAGTAGCGTCCAGAAAAGTCGAAAATAGATCAATGAAAAAAGAATCCAATATGCTCATAAAATAAAACAGTGGACACACGACAAAGATTACTAAGATAACTATTATTATTGTAACACATACAAGACAGGAACAAGGGCGAAAATTACAGACTATTAAGAACTATTAAAACACAAACTTAATATTTTTAGTGATTTAAAGTCCTCTCACCTTGAAGAGTGTTGAAGATGGAGAAGAGGTAGACAAAAGGTAAGTAGAGAGGTCCCCAAGCGAACAGTGCGAAGCCCCATGTCAAACCCAGCAGAACCACCAGTCCAGAGATGCTGCGCAGGTCGGAGAGAAGACCCCGCTTTGGAGACTGGTTCTGGGGGTTCTGCCGCTTGATGCGAGCCAGTTGAACCAGGACCACCACAAACACCACCAGACAAAAGGCAAAGATCAGCAGGAAGTAGGCCACCACTCCAATGTAGAAGGCCAAGTCGTTACGCAGCCAACAACTGCAGAACAGGACAGACATGCTTTTTTCATGTATATTATTTAAAATGTAGTTGTTTTTTTAATGTATTCTTCTAATTCTGAACATTGTAAAGCGCTTTGAGTGACCTTGGTCTATAAAATGCGCTATATAAATACCTATTATCATTGCAAATCTGTTTCTACTGTTTGATTCTCTGATCTGTTGTTGGCGACGTGACAGCTTTGTAAAGTCCTCTGAGATAATTCCAGTTTTGATTTAGGGTGAATACATTAATTGAATTGAGTTGATTTTCTTGACAAATGTTGTGTTTACTTTAAAGCTTTGCTGAGAACAAAATGATTAAACTTTGTGGGTAATACACTGATTTTGTAATGTCTGTGTTCAATGTGAGAAATTCTATCCATAAATGTATCGGAGCTGTGTTTTAATTGATAACCAAAACATAAGTTGATGAGTTATGTTTTTTTTTGTAAGAAATAAAACTTACAAGTCATCTGAAGTTCCATCTGTGTATTTTCCATATGAGACCAGGCCATAGTTGTTCTTGTCCACAGCAATTATTACAATCACCACAATCAGAGGAATACCTGAGAAAGAACAAATGAATATGTGAGATTAAAGGGTGACCTACATTTGTCAAGACCATAAAAAAACAAGTCACTAAAATGCTGCCAATTATGTCATTAACCACCGATACATCACACGTAAAGAAAATTGCAGCCTTGGATTTGAAGGCTAGGATTATAACCAACACACCGACAGCCAAGCCTCGTTTGAAAGGACTTTGTAATGGTTGTGTTAATGGTTGATGAAGAGAGTTCAAATAAAAGGGAGTGAAGGGACTTGATAGAATGTTGGTTCCTTACCCCAGCCCATGATGGAGAATTTCACCATGTAATTGCTTAAATACGGAGTGAACACGCGCACAATACTGAGGTACATGTGCAGAGCCTCCAGCCCCGCCCACGTGAACGAAGTCAACAGGAAGTAGTGCAGGAAGAAGGCGGCGCTAATGCATAGTCCATTCGCTGTAAACAGAGCCAACCAGCCGTCAATCAAAAACACCAGGTTCAGAAGAAGCAGAGACGTGCAGAGCTGAACCAGGATCTTGGCCGGAATGTCTCGCAACAGCTTTCTGAAAGAGAAAAGCTGCTGTAGTTATTTTGGAGAGAACAAATCTAAATGATATTTGTCCTTTTTGTATAGCCCTAAATCGAACAACACAGTCCTAACACACAGAATGCAATAATAACAAACACATAGAGCTTATGGTTCATAGGAAGCAACATGACTAATGTTCAGGAATATTAATACATTTTTAGTAAACAAGCCGCGAACTGTGCATTGGCGGCTGTAAGCAGTTGGGCCAACACCTGGGGTATGAAATTCAACCCTTCAAAGACTGTATGTTTGTGCTTTGCTAAAGCGCCAGTTAAAAAACAAATAGATGGTCAAGTCATGTTTGAGGGCCACAACATCTCCTCAAGTGAGACAAAGCACTTGGGGGAAACAATCAGCAGTGACTTGAAATGAAAGCGTTATGTTGAGGACTTGTGTAAAGGGGCTAGGAAGGAAATGTTTGTATTGAGGCTCCTAAAATCAAAGCTACCACCACAAAGCAATGAAGTCCTGCTTCGGATCTAATGTATGCTTTATACATTAGATCCCGACTAGAGTACTGCTCAGTGCTGATCTGTGACATAGGAAAGACTTTCATTAACTGTTTAGAGAGCATCCAACGAAGATGCATAGCAGAATTGTGACAGCAGAGCATTATAGAGCGCTCGGACTAACAACCTTGCAAACAAGGTGGAACTTTGCGCTTGCATGCTTTGGTTTTAAACTGTTCCATGGACTCTCGCCTGCTGCGCTGGGACCATACCGACCCACACAAAGAGTCCTGCCATACCATGTGCGCTGGGTCAGTTGTGCTTTTCCAGACGGGACACTGCTCAGTGCCCGCATCATGCAGAGATCGTGTCTCACTCTGGCCACCAGGATGTGGAACATGCTGGACTCTGACTGTGTCTCGAGTGAATCTTTGGGGGAATTCAAGGAGCACCTCAAGGTGAGGCTCAGGGATGAACTATTTGAAAACTTCCCTCATAACTAGACTCTGGGGTGGGAGGGGGCATTTAATTCCAACGGTCATGTGACCATGGAAATGTAATGGGGGTTTTTTTCAGTTCAATTTTTGGACGATTTTAATGATTTGTACATTTATTAAAGATAAAAAAATAAAAATAAAAATAACATGTTTATAAACGTCTTTAAATGCAGTACTGGGTCATCACTGCCCTTAACGCTCCTGCATCAGAAAAGCACAACCAAAAAACCTCTGGGCTTCTCCTCGAGGACGTTTGACATTTCTTAAACAATTATGGTGACATTTGATTATTCACTTAATCATTTACTTAAAAGGCATGTACATCAAACACTGGTTGGCGTTGGGATTTCATGATCAGGTTTTGTTTGGTCGCCTTCTACTTGAAAGTTTCTACGGTTACCACCTTTTTGAATTTGGTTTCATTTGTTTGCATTGAGCACAGCAAATGAGACCTAATTGAGCCTCAAAGAGAAGGGTCACATTGTGTTTTCTCTGTTTCTCAATAGAAAACGATAGTTCACACTAAAGCTGAAGCGACAGTACAACCTTTTTGCTCGACTTAAGTACAATGGACGACAGTGGCTCGGTTGGAAGAGCATTAGCCTTTCGAGCCCACCACAAGACCTTCTCCACCGACGCCACTGATATCTGCTGTCGTTGTGTCCTTGGGCAAGACACTTTACCCACTTTGCCTATAAGGAGCAGAAGTAATGTTTGCTGCATGCCTTAATGTGTATATGTGTATGTTTATTCATCAAACTGAAATTTCCCCACTGTGGGACGAATAAAGGACCTTTTTCCACTTCTTCTAATGAGACAATCGCTGAGCCAGCATTACACAACCATCAAATAAAACTACTTCTCTTTGTGAGTGGATTGACAAACAAGTTGCATTTGAAAAACCAGAAATGATCAGCATCTATTCCTTATCTATATATTTTTTTGCCGTGGATTTTTGGACGTGTTCCTCGCCGATGCAGGAGGGTCTAAAGGACAGTGGTGATGATCCTGGAAACCCAACATTTATGAACATTGGTCCTCCGCCCCTTATGTGTTCGTTTTCGTTGTTTTTGATTTAGGGTTATACATAAGTAAGATATTGTAGAAAGTCTTACTCGAATGCGAGGTATGTGAGAATTGTGACAGACAGAAAGATGGCCGAGACGCCGCAGCCAATGTATGTGATGAAAGTGAGGAGCTGAGCGTGTTGGCGGTCGATCATTCCCTCTCTGGACAAGTCCTGAAAAAAGTCAAATAGATCCAAATGAACAGGATGTGGATCACTGCAAACACAATGACTTTGGAAACAAACTGCTCTTCGTTACCAGGAGAACCGCAAACGACGTCAGGTGGTTGCAGCTGCAGGTGGTGTCGTCCGCTGTGGCACTGATCACACTGCAGCCAGCGTTGCTCCACCCTCCAGCTCCTCCTGAAGAAAGTGCCAACATATATGCTTTTAAAATCAATAGTGTAGCAGTTTTCTCAAAACAAGTCATTCTAATAATACCCAACCTCATGCACAGCAGTAACCAGTCACTTTGTCATGTAACTCACTAAAGCATAGGAAAAGCTACTTCGCTGCTGCTGCTGAGAGTCAAATATTGCAGATCTATGTTATCATGTTAAAGAAATGTATTTATTATTATCTAGCTATACTCACCATTTGCTGTGAAGTCCCAAAACACACAAGAAAGCGAATGGTTTTTCTGCAAAAGTGGGTGAAATGATTATTATTAAATGTATGTTTACAGTTGCATATACAAGGCAATAGAAGTAGCTCACGTGTATGGGCGTATGTCTTATGGTGAATTTGATGTCTTCTCTCAGGTTTCTTATGGACACGTTGGCGAGGCTGGAGGCCAGGACAGGACTCACCACTGTATGCTCATTCAGCGTTGTATCCTACAGTCAAAATACAGTGATCATCTGTGTGCTTGTGATTGCATGTGTGTGATGATGCGGAGATTGTTGGCACCATGAAGAGAGTGCTCTTGGTGTAGAAGTTGAACTGGACTCTGCTGGCCCAGACCTGCTCCTCTGGACTCAGGTCTTCAGTGAGAGACGCCGGGAGACGGACTGAGCCCAGAGGAGCGGCAGTCGACCTGGTTCTGCCAGAATTTATCTGAAAGAAACATCAAACTGTAATGATCACGGGAAATGATTGACTCTCATGTTGCATTAACATTTGATGATGCAGGTGCACTATTCTATTTGCCGTTCTAATTCTGATACTATGGCATTTTATCTTTTGAGATAAAATGTCCTTTGAACGGTATCTCAAATGGTATAAAAACTCTACTTCCCACTGATGGTTTATGTCTCTGTTTCTGTGTTGTGTTTTTATGTCTTATGTGTATTTTCAATGTAGCAGCCTGTGAGTCCAAGACCAATTTCCTCCAGGACGAAATACATGAATCTTGAATATATCCTTTGGTATAAGGGCCAACAGAATTGGAATTTTTGGAAATTATTCTGTTTTTTTGTTTGTTTTTATTTTGCTCTGCCAACTACAGATCGATCATTTTTCACAGGTTTACCACCAGGATCTGGGCTGTTAATAGCTGAAGATGAAGTTGCCTGAATGATTATTTATTATTTTTCTCAATAGATACTGTTTCTGAAGATTCTAAGCTTTAAATTATGATGCGTGTATGCTCTGAGAGATTATTTTGGCTGGATGACATGGTGTGTAGATGAGTGATTCACCAGCAGTGGATTCAGCCGATTTTGAGCTTTAAAAGTATCACATGTGGATTTGAGATCATGACCAGATGAGTTGGTGGCTGAGTGGAAGTTTCCAACGATTCAAAATAACTGAATACTAATGTGATCTGCAAAGCCATTTATTCTGCAGTTACATACTTATACCTTTTGTATCGTTGTTATTTTTACCTGGACATTATCAGTGTTGAAGATGTTGGCAGTGGTTGATGAAAAGTCACTTCCGTCCACAGTTTGCACGGCCAAAACCAGTGACGAGGACGACAGGATTTCATTTTCACCAGAAACGACAAGCTTTAGCCCCAGATCATCCACCAGCCGAACCAACCTGCCACATTATAACACCTTACACACAAGAAATAACATGTATTTGTGCAGTAGTAGTAGTAGTAGTAATAGTAGTAGTAGTTACATAGTGCACTGTAAACTTAGATGTTCGATTAATACATTTCTTCACCTGCTTCAACAATCCCAATTTTAGAAAAGATCAATAATTAACTCTAGAAATCACTCATAAAATAGTTTTATCCATCCGTCCAATTCTATGAAGTATGATAAAAAATACGACAGTAGCTCAGTTGGTAGAGCATTGGCCTTTGGGCCTGAAGGTCGTGGGTTTGAGCCCACCACGAGACCTACTTCACGATTCCCACTGATGTCTCCTTGGGAAAGACACTTAACCCCACTTTGCCTGAAGCCCCCGCTGAAAGATCATGGCTCCTGTGGACTCACCACCTGCAGAGGATCAGTGAGGGGCTGGTGCTCTGTGGACTGGGTGCAGCTCTGACTGCCATCCCCCTGACCCAGAAATGGATTAAGGGGAAAAAGATGGATGGATGGATGGATAATAAAAAATAAAAAAATAAAAACCACACTGGCGTTTCTCTTTTGTTTAGTTTATAACATGTGCTAGATAAACACCATTCATTTGGATGATTACAAATAAACAAGAGAAGGGATTAAATGGTTGGTTCCTTATCAATGAACATTTCATTCATGGTTTAAAACCACTTTGATTCCATGGTGAAATAAATGAGAAATTATAAAATCTTAAATTGAGTACCTGTTGGCAGAGGCAGACAGAGCCTGGGCGTCTCCTTCCATGAGGTTGCTGATTATATTTACAGCCTTTTCCCCCACACTCTGAGACACAGAAGGACCATCCAGCAGACCCTCCAGCTGCCCCACTAACTTCCACACCTGCCATTTCAATCCATGATAAGTTTACATAAGTTTACATACAATAAAACTGAAGCACGTATGGCCTCATGTTGATTCTGTTCAAATAAATAACTTGAGATACAGTTGTGTTCATTATTTATTATTCATCTACTTCACCTGTGTCGAGTTGAGCTGAGATACATCCTCAGTTTCAGACAGAAGGTTGTCGGCCTCCTCTTCTTGTTGTTGTTGAGATAGTGTGGTCTGCTCTGCCGTAGTCATGGAAACCGATCCATCTAAATGGACAGAACATTGACGTATTGCTGCTTGCAATATTGTTATCGCCATAAATTGTGCAGCCTTGTGAAATGTTGTTTAAGAGTGGGACAGTTGACAGATGTATTGTGGTGTACAGGCGGACTCCACATGGCCAGTTACTTCTAGATTTAAGATGAGGTGAGCCTGCTATATTTTGTTTTGTTGTTTTCTTTAAGACTAGGACTCAGACATATGACTGCTCCCATTCAAATCAATGGGATTCTGAGAAGTTAGTCAGGTCACCATCAGTGCAATCCAAATGTACCTTTACTCACTTTTAAAAATGAGCTAAAAACGGTGAATACAATTTTGAACACTAAAAAAATCCAAACCCTAAATAGCTCTTTGAAAGGAAAATGCTAAATGGTAGTAAATTAGTGTGTTCCTATCGTTACTATTGCTCCTCTCTTCTTTACTCCCTTTCAAAATCAAAGATAATTTCATGAAAATAATGACAGAAATAAACTACGTAAAGAAACAGCAACAGTTATGAAGCTGTACATTTTTTGCTGTTTGTGCGCAAATAACATTTAATAATAACGCTAAGTTTACAACAATATCTGTGTCTTTATTCACAGCATCGTGGTTGAAATTAGTTATGAAACAATGAGTCTATATTACAGTCACATCAATCTTCGCCTAGAATACAGATTTAATAAGATTCGTAAAATCTCAAACAGCTTGGATAAAGCATGGATCTATAATAATAACTGGATAGGGTATTACTAGCTTATAGCTGTCCCACCCATGGGCACAGGGGGCGCCCGTGGTACTGCAGTCTAAATTCACGCAGGCTACCCAGAAAAAAGTCCCATAGAACTCAATGTAAACAAATCCAGCTCAACCTCAGCTGACAGAGAACCTGCAGCTTTCAGAAAGGTTGGATTTTGTGAGGATTTTAGTGTCCCTTGTCATCCTGAACTTTTTTTTCTTCTTTAATCCTTCGGTTTTCTTTACATTTACACTTTACCACCACAAACTCTGCTCCTTTCCTTCCCGCTCAGTTCAGCTAATCTCCCGGTCCCCGTGAAGTCCCATGCGCTACTGAGCACAAGCCATTCATTTGAATAGGGCGCCATCTTGGATCACCAGGGCTTGGGAGAAAGTAGCAGCAAAACTTTATAATGGGACCCTTTTGGTGACCAAGACAATTCTTGAGAGAAAACTACCATGTGTTTGGGTGTGGGATTGCAACATATCTTCAAAACGCCAGAGTATACAAACAACTGTGGCTGCGTTATCAACCACAAACGCACACAGTGTTACAGAGTATACATCCGCCTTTAGTCAGCATTAGTTTTTGACACGATGATAGTGACACAAATGGTACTCACAAGGAGGTGTAGTTCCAGCGGTTGATGATGTTGTGGAGGTTTGAGACGTTCCAGGAGTCGTCACCTCAAGTGTGTTATTGATCTGTGCTACATTTCTCGTTGTAGGTTCCTCTGTACTTGCCGTAGTTTGGTCACTGGTTTGGGAAATGGCAGTAGTAGTAGTGGGAGTACTGAAGTCTGCAGCTACAGTAATATTCTCCAGGCTTGGGGTGGTCACGGTGAAGTTGTTTGACGGTGACGCAGTTGTCATGGCATGCGCTGTGTTTTGTGTTACATTTCCAAGTTGTGTAGTTGTACTTTTTAGGGGAGGTGTAGTAACTGTCACACTGACTGTAACCGTTGTATTCTGAAGTGAAGTAGCAGTAGTTTTAAGAAATGCAGTAGTATTTGGGAATAAAGATGTAGTGTTTGGCAATGCAGTTGGAGTATTTTGGAGAGCCGTCGTAGTATTTGGAAGTAAAGTAGAAGTATTCTGAAGTATAGTAGTTGTATTTGGAAGTAAAGTAGAAGTATTCTGAAGTATAGTAGTTGTATTTGGAAGTAAAGTAGTAGTATTCTGAAGTATAGTAGTAGTATTTGGAAGTAAAGTAATAGTATTCTGAAGTGAAGTAGTAGTATTCATAGTAGTATTTGGAATTGAAGTAGTGGTATTGTGAATTGAAGGAGTGGTACTTGAGAGTAAAGTAATATTCTGAAGTACAGCAGCAGTACTTGGAAGTATAGTAGTAGTATTTGGAAGTATTGTATTAGTATTCTGAAGTGAAGTAGTGGTGTTCATAGTAGTATTTGGAATAGAAGTAGTGGTATCTGGAAGTACGCTTGCAGTATTCATAGTAGTATTCTGAAGTGAAGTAGTAGTATTCTGAATTAAAGCGGTGGTATTGTGAATTGAAGGAGTGGTACTTGAGTGTAAAGTGATATTCTGAAGGACAGTAGCGGTACTCGGAAGGGACGTAGTAGTATTTGTCTCAGCAGTCGGAAACGTGGTCGTCATGGTTGCGTTCGGTCGAGATAAACTTGTAGTAGAGATATCGAACATACGCGTCTCATTGTAGAAATGTTTTGTTACGTTTGTAGGATCGGTTGTTGGTCTGGTTATTGCGTGAGTACTAGTAGCAGTAGTATTTGTAGTAATCATTGTGGTAGTAGTAACATTTATTTCCTTCCTGGCTTGAGTCGTATTGTAAATCGGGACAAACGGCGGTGTGCCTTCTGTAGCTAACGTTGTCGTACCTATTGCAGTAGTGTTGGATGTCTTTATGCTTGTAGTAGTTGTAGTAGTAGTAGTAGTAGTAGTAGTATTTGTTGATGCGTTGTTCGTCACTGGGTTTTTTGGCGACACTGTTGTACTAGAAAGAGGTTGTGTATCCGATTCTGTGACCACGGTAGTTGGTGTTTGCGATGAAGCCGTGGTTACAATTCCTGTTGTAGTTTGGCTAGCAACTAAACTAGCATTTGAAGTTGTTACCGGCGTTGTTGCCGTGGTTACATTGCTGATTGTAGTGTGATTGACATTACGAACGCTTTTTTCAACCGTGGTTAGATTAGAAGCAACGGTTTCATTGATTGCAAAGGTGCTTTCTGACAGCGTAGTTGCTTCTGTAGTCGTTACAGTTGGCGTTGCTGCGGTTGTATCGTTTGTTGCCAGATCCGTTGTCGTTTTTATTGTTGTAGAAGTCGCTGCAGTCGTCTCGAAAGTTACCACGGCCTTCGTAGCCTTAGTCGTAACTGCTATCGAAGTGGATGTGAAAGGTGTTGTTGGTGTATTAACTTTTGTTTCATTCTGCCGATTTGTGATTGCAGTGCTCGGCTGGCTGTCCGTGTTTGATAACGCTGTTGTCCGAGGTGTAGTTTTGGCTGTAGAATCGGTTGTAGATATGACATTTGGCGTTGCGGTGGGTAAAGAGGCATGGGAAATGTCACTCGTTGGAGTCGCCACTGTTTGAATGGAACTGGTCTGATTTATTTTAGATGTAGATCCGCTGTCAACCACAGTACGTGTTGCTGTGGTGCTAATTACAGTTGTATCATTTCGTATGTTGGCATCAGTGTAGCTGTAAGTGCCTCTTATAGCGTCATCACTATTGGGTGTGCTACTGGTTGTTACAGCTGTAGTAGTAGCAGTATAATGTGTGTGGGTGGAGTCTATTGCTATTGTAGTGTCTGTAGTGTCTGTAGGGACCACTGCTGTGTCTGCAACAGTTGAGGACGGAGAAACATTGGTCGCAGCAGTCACCGCATCAGTCACTGTTGAATACCTTGGCGTTGTTTTACTAGTCGTGGATTCATCTATTTTAGCAGTCAGAATTGTCTCGCTCAAAGTGGAAGTAGCTAATGTCGTCGTGGCTGTCTCTCTTTGGATGATTTCAGCTGTTGTTGGAATTGTGCTGACATCCTTACTAATATTTTCAACATGAATTGGTGTATTTTCGGTTATATTTGTAATTGTAGCGATTGTAGTTGTTGTTTCAGTGCTTGCTGATGATGATGTGTCAATTGGATCAATACTAGTCAAAACGTCTGTGGGAGCTGCTGTGGGCATTTGACTTGAACGAGCTGTTGGCAATACTTTGGTTGTCGTTGTGTTGTCACTAGAAATAGATGTTGTCGTTGTAGTAATGTCATTGATTGTGCTCGCTGTAGTTGTACTGCTAACTTTATTTGTAGATGGCATATTTTCAGTGGTAGTTGAGCCAAGAGTTGTTGGGGTGTCAGTAGTAGATATTTCTGTAGTTTCATTATGTATCACATTTGCAGTAGTGGTTTCCAACGTGCTCAATAATGCAGAAGTCATTTGTTGTGTTGTTTCGTCTGTATAATGAGTGTGCATATGGGTTTCTGTTGCGGTTGTACTGCTAGTTGTTGGAAGAATAGTGGTAGTGCTAGCGGTAGTAGAAGTAGTAGTAGTAGAAGGAGGAGTTGGAGTTGGAGTACTTGTGGTTGGTAAAGTGTTTTTGGTTGGAATGGATTGAGAAGTAGTATATTGAGGGGTAGTGTGAGTGGTAGTAGTTGTAGAAGCGATCACAGCTGTTGTTTCTGGGGGCAAAGTCATGGTCTCCTCTGATTGGCAGGTGTCACTCAAAACCACGGCAAGGTTTTCATTGGGGCGGCTGCAATAGAAAGAAAAATAAAATTTTATACGATACATATTTTTTGTTAGAGGAAATAACACACACCAACATTTCTGACTAAGGTCCAGATGCAGGACTATATTATGAAGAGTTTAAAGACAGAATTTAAGTTGCATATGTCAGTTATTTATTCAAAAAGATGTTTCAGCCATGAGTTTTCATCAGACAAATAAAATAATAATAATACCATTGAAGGTTAGTTTGACCTTCTTCACAAATGTCGGACGTCTTTAGGGAACTTGTAAACCAGGTCAGATTCGAGGTCAGCAACTTATCAGAAATCTTTTGAAAATCGCCGCACACAACTAAGAAAAAGAAACATTTGAATGAATAGAGCACAACTTTTGCACATTTGGTCAAAACATGTTAAAAAATCCTGAAAGTTCACAAACAAGTCACAGGAAACTGAAGTGAAAGTAAAATGATAAATGATTCTGATATTGTTAAGAAAAAAGTTGGGCCTGCACCAGTATTCATACAGCTCAGCTCATGATTTGTGGAACCCCCTTTTTCTGCAATAACAGCAGACAGTCTTTTGGGGTTCGACTCCACAAGATCTGCACATCTAGAGACAGATGCCCTTTTCTCTTTACAAAACAACTCGAGCTATGTCAAATTAGATGGAGAACAGCAGTTTTCCACATTTCATTTATTTGTGTTTGGGGTCATTGTCCTGTTGGAAGGGGATTTTTTGTCCCAGCCTTAATTCTCCTGCTGGTATTGTTGCAGGTTTTCATCCAAAATGTCCCCTGTATTTGGCACCATCCATCTATCCAGCTATTCTTACAGTCTTCCCAGTCCCCACAGCATGATGCTCCCCCTACCATATTTGACACTGGGTATACTTAACGTTTTGCAGTTGTGAAAAAAAAAAAGTTCTATTTTCGTCCAATCTGACCAAAGCACCTTCTTCCACATGTTGCTGTTCTTGGGATGTCCCAGCTCAGCGGCAGTACTTTGCAGCTCTTCCAGAGAGGGGGCACTTGGTTGCCTTTCTGACCAGTGTCTCCTAGTTTCATCTGGGAGTTGAACTAAACAGCTGTGTCTTGGTAAATTCGCAGAGGTGCTTTCCATTTCCAAATAATAGGTTGATTAAGGATAGACAGAGCATTTGTATTTACACTGAGAGTAGAACACACACCGGAGGCCTCTTTATAATCAAAAGGACAGGAGTGAACGTTCAGTATTAGAAATTGTCTAAAGGCTTTAGTGCACTCTGAAAATAGCTGTGTACATACTTGTGCACACCCTACTTTAAAACAGTAACAGCTCTCATGTATAATTTTACTTTCACTTCACAGTTGTCTGCTACTTGTTGTAATATACATAAATACAAATGTGCTGTTCATGGTTGTAAACATGACACTATAGGCACAGGTTGAAGCTGTAGGAAAACTTGTGTTTGGCGTAAGTATAATATGCACGTGGCTTTATTGTGAGATTTTGAGATTTACCGATGTGACTGAGAGGGCCCTTTGTGGTGACTCCTCCTGCGCTGTTGATGAGAGAGTGAAACACTGCGGGCACTGAGCAGTCTGCGATGGCGTTGGTCATCTCCAGTATCATGGAGCAGCTGTAAGACCTGCAGGCGACAGTTTCCAAACACAGAAATAACACGTGCTGCTTGTCCCACCAGAAAGAGGCTTGTATAAGTCAGGCAGGAAACATCAAGAAAACAAACATCTGAAGGTCTTATGGTGTTGTTTACCTTTGATCTATCTCATGGCAGTTCACATATGTTTTCTAGAAAAAAACACAATTAAGTTAATAGACAGAATGTGTAAACTACTCCATATTTTTCAGTGTTTGACTTTTACCTTGAGTCCTTGTTTTTTCAGCACATCTAAAGCTTTGATGCATTGTAAGCTGCACAAAAAAACATTATAAAACCAACTTATTTCATGCACAAATAATGAATTGAACCTTAGCTTACTTTGGCCTCGCACCACACGCCTTGATCACTTGGTTTGTCAACTACAAGAGAATACCAAAATGTGAAGTTGATTGATATGAATGAGCAATACGGAATACATACCATGTTTTGGAGGAATTTGGTATCAACGTTAATGTCTGTAACTTCTAGCTGTTGCGAATAGAAATGATCTAAAAGGGTTTTTTTTGCAGCGTTAGTGATGCCAAATACAAACTTTATCCAAGGGCAATAGAAATGGCCTTACTTTGATGTTGGCAGAATGCGTCACAGCTGCAATAGTGTGTGTCTTCATCTGAGAAAAAGTACACTATATTATTTAGAAGAAAAGCTATTTGAAATCGTTGGCACTAAAATCAATAGTAACTTGTGCAGGAGTCCGTTGCTGTCACTTTATTGAGGACATGGTCTGGCTCCAGCGGATTACTGAGGGAAAATACAACATATTTAATAATAAAACATTTATTTGAGCTGCAAAACGGGAAACGCACCATGTCACACTTGTTTGCTCTTTTGATTGACACATTTCTTCCAAACTGGACGAGCAGGTCACAAAGCCGCCACTAGAGGGATCCACGCCATCACACAGATTTGGACCTGTGAAATCAAGCATACAATTCATTAAATAATTACGAAAAATGATGAAACATAAATTTTATGGAATATTTTTAGTAGTTATCCACCTTTTTTGTCTTGTGTTTCCTGCACCTACAATTAAAGCTGAGATCCTTACTTTTTCTTTTCTCCAAAATAACACGCATTTTGTCAATACAGAGGGAATATCGTAACAGGCGAGTGTGTGGAATTTTTTTTATCTCCCTGGCCTGTGAGTTACTATTTGACAACTTTAGGCCGAGGGCAGGTGAGGGTTGTCTTCTTTTCTGTCTGAAAAGGCCGATATAAAGATTTGACAGACCCAAAATGCAACATGTGAAAACCAGTGATAGAACCGCATATTTTGAGAGTGAGAAAATAGTTAATAATGGATTTCGAAATCATGGTTTGATCTTAAAGATCAAAACGTCAAAGATCGTCCAAAACGAGTCCATTTTCAGAGTTATTATGACTCTACAGAGTCCTGTTTAAGACAGAGGCAGACACTACGCAACGGGCGGAAAATACGTGCGCGATGAGCGGCGCGTTTTAAACAATTTCCATCATAAAGCAGTGAGCTGCTGTGAACCAGGACTGAGCCAGGACTGAACTAGGACTGAGCCAGGACAACCAGGACTGAGCCAGGACTGAGCCAGACTGAGCCAGGACAACCTGGACTGAACAAGGACTGAGCCAGGACAACCAGGACTGAACTAGGACTGAGCCAGAACTCAGCCAGACTGAGCCAGGGCTGAACCTGTTTTTTTTACTATATATATTTGGAGAAAGTAACTTAAAAGTAATGCAGTAGTGTAATGCATTACAATTCAGATACAGTAATATCATAGTGCAAACTTTTCTCAAACTTTTTACATCAAGTACCCCCTCAGAAAATACTTGCCTCTCCAAGTACCCCCACAAATGACCAACACTACACAGTAGCGTAGTAAGCCGTATTAATCAAAAACAAGGCAAAAGTTTAATTCCTAAAGAAGCTTTTGTATTTGCTGCTTCCTTTACATGGAACGTGTTGCAAAAAGACTGGAAATGATCTGATCGTATTTCATTGAATGCTTTTAGATCCAGATTGAGAGCACTTGAGAAATCCTCATTGAAATGTAACTGTTTTTATAATCAGTGATTTTCTGAAATTGTATGTGACTGTTTTATAATCTGTAATTGTATGTAATTTTGTACAGGACTCCCTTGAAAAAGAGATTCTCATTGACTGCCAGCCATTTTTGATGACTTCACTGATTTTCAAGACTCACAGATTATTGTGTGCTATGACTAGGGCTGGGCAATAAATCAAATTTAAGCAATTAATCGGCTTTTGAAAACATCGAATTTGTGAAAAATGTTAAAATCGTGAAATCGAATGAAGGATATTGTGACAGTTCCAGCAGCACATGAATTATACTTGCAATATGTTTATATATATATATATATATATAGGAATAATCAGGTGGCCAAAGGAAGAGATTCAGACCACGGATGTTAAAACTCGAAAGCTCCTTACCATGCATGGCGGGTTCCATCCCAAATCCAGCACCCTGAGACTGTACGTAAGCCGTAAAGAAGGAGGCCGAGGACTAGTGAGTGTGAGAGCCACTGTCCAGGACGAAACATCCAAACTCCATAACTACATCATGGAGAAGGCCAAAACGGATGACGTACTCAGTGAATGTCTCAGGCAGTGGCGAGATGAGGAGGTGCTGGAGGAGAGCCCATCATGGGAGAACAAGCCCCTACACGGCATGTACCACCGGAGCATAACAGAAGTGGCTGATCTCAAGAAGTCCTACCAATGGCTAGAAAGGGCTGGCCTACAGGACAGCACAGAGGCACTCATCATGGCTGCACAGGAGCAGGCCCTGAGCACCAGAGCGATAGAGGCCCAGATATACCACACCAGACAAGACCCAAGGTGTCGGTTGTGCAAAGAGGCACCTGAGACGATCCAACACATAACTGCAGGGTGCAAGATGCTGGCAGGGAAGGCCTACATGGAACGCCATAACCAAGTGGCTGGCATAGTGTACAGAAACATCTGTGGAGAGTATGGGCTGGAAACCCCAAGGTCTAAGTGGGAAACTCCTCCAAAGGTGGTGGAAAATGAGCGTGCGAAGATCCTGTGGGACTTCCAGATACAGACCGACCGAATGGTAATGGCAAACCAACCTGACATCGTGGTGGTAGACAAAGGGCAGAGGACAGCCGTGGTGGTGGACGTGGCAATTCCAAGCGATGGTAACATCCGGAAAAAAGAACATGAAAAGCTTGAGAGAAATACCAAGGTCTCAGAGAGGAGCTGGAGAGGGCCTGGAGGGTAAAGGTGACAGTAGTGCCCGTGGTGATCGGTGCACTCGGGGCAGTGACCCCGAAGCTAGATGAGTGGTTACAGCGGATCCCCGGAACAACCTCGGACATCTCGGTCCAGAAATGTGCAGTGCTAGGAACAGCAAAGATACTGCGCAGAACCCTCAAGCTCCCTGGCCTCTGGTAGAGGACCCGAGCTTAGAGAGGGATAACCGCCCGCGGAGGGCCAAAGGTGAGTGGACAATTTTTTTTTATATATATATATATATACTGTATATATATATGTGTATACATACAACATATACACATATATATATATATATATATATATATATATATATATATATATATATATATATATAACAAGGCCCGGGCAATTAACAGCTACGCCCTGCCAGTGATCAGATACCCTGCAGGAATAATCAGGTGGCCAAAGGAAGAGATTCAGACCACGGATGTTAAAACTCGAAAGCTCCTTACCATGCATGGCGGGTTCCATCCCAAATCCAGCACCCTGAGACTGTACGTAAGCCGTAAAGAAGGAGGCCGAGGACTAGTGAGTGTGAGAGCCACTGTCCAGGACGAAACATCCAAACTCCATAACTACATCATGGAGAAGGCCAAAACGGATGACGTACTCAGTGAATGTCTCAGGCAGTGGCGAGATGAGGAGGTGCTGGAGGAGAGCCCATCATGGGAGAACAAGCCCCTACACGGCATGTACCACCGGAGCATAACAGAAGTGGCTGATCTCAAGAAGTCCTACCAATGGCTAGAAAGGGCTGGCCTACAGGACAGCACAGAGGCACTCATCATGGCTGCACAGGAACAGGCACTGAGCACCAGAGCGATAGAGGCCCAGATATACCACACCAGACAAGACCCAAGGTGTCGGTTGTGCAAAGAGGCACCTGAGACGATCCAACACATAACTGTAGGGTGCAAGATGCTGGCAGGGACGGCCTACATGGAACGCCATAACCAAGTGGCTGGCATAGTGTACAGAAACATCTGTGGAGAGTATGGGCTGGAAACCCCAAGGTCTAAGTGGGAAACTCCTCCAAAGGTGGTGGAAAATGAGCGTGCGAAGATCCTGTGGGACTTCCAGATACAGACCGACCGAATGGTAATGGCAAACCAACCTGACATCGTGGTGGTAGACAAAGGGCAGAGGACAGCCGTGGTGGTGGACGTGGCAATTCCAAGCGATGGTAACATCCGGAAAAAAGAACATGAAAAGCTTGAGAAATACCAAGGTCTCAGAGAGGAGCTGGAGAGGGCCTGGAGGGTAAAGGTGACAGTAGTGCCCGTGGTGATCGGTGCACTCGGGGCAGTGACCCCGAAGCTAGATGAGTGGTTACAGCGGATCCCCGGAACAACCTCGGACATCTCGGTCCAGAAATGTGCAGTGCTAGGAACAGCAAAAATACTGCGCAGAACCCTCAAGCTCCCTGGCCTCTGGTAGAGGACCCAAGCTTAGAGAGGGATAACCGCCCGCGGAGGGCCAAAGGTGAGTGGACAATTTTTTATATATATATATATATATATATATATATATATATATATGTGTATATGTTGTATGTATATGTTACACAGACACAGACGGACAGGAAAAGATTGAAAAACATGTTGACGTTAATGTACGTTGTATAACGTCAATGACGTCAATGAGGTAATCTCAATAGTACTTTCCTGGTTAAATAAAAAAAAAAAAAATTCAGTGATTCTTTGGCGTACCCCTAGAGGGAGCCCGTGTACCCCAGTTTGAGAACCACTGTCAAAGTGTAATACATTATTTTGAAATAGCAGTAATAAGTGAAACATAACGTATTACGTTTTTAAAGTAACTTGCCCAACACTGATTAACAGCAGGTGGCTCCTTTAGGCTGTTTCTTACATATAAGAAACAGCCTTTAAAATGCTCATTTTAAAGGTTTGTGACTACATTCACAGCACGCTTGTTCACTGTGCCCTCTACAAGTGGGCAAGGGGCGCCATAATGTATTTTCGCCTGGGGCGCCTGATGACCTAGGGCCGGCCCTGGCCAAATGCATGAATGAAATCAGTAACAAATGGTTTCTTTTCACTGGTTTTGTTTCATTTATTTCCGGGATACCTCAAATAGTTCTCAAAAATGTGATACGTAGTTACTGCAAAGTACATATTTTCATTCAAATAATAATTCATAATTGGTTTATATTGGGGGAATTGGTTAATGTAATCCTCTGGCTGATCTTTCCGTAGTTTTTTTTTCAACTGGCTGAATAGAAGAATGTGTGTCAGCTTTTATTGAGTATGTGGTCCCTTACCCACTCTCTCCACGGCTCTGTGACTTACCCACTCTCTCCACGGCTCTGTGACTTACCCACTCTCTCCACGGCTCCTGTGATTGTCACGATGGTTTGCTGCAGTGCAGAGACAGCCGCTCGTCGCACTTTACAAACAGACAGGACAGGACTGAGCTGCAGCAGGACCCCACACTGAGTCAGCCTGAGAGAAAAACACAACACATCTATTGAGTGTTTTTGGCGATAGAATAAGTCTACCAGTGGTTAGATTTGATTTATAGGATTTTGATTAACATTCCTAAAGAGGCACTAGGTATTTAAAAGTATATTTGAACAGTAAAAAGAGGGTGCAGGAGAGTGGATTAGACAGGGGATGACGCTCCACTCCTTGACTTCACTTAATGCACATATAAGATGTAGCATACTGAGCTGAGTGGATGTACAGTATGACGGCTCTGTAATGAAGGTAAAGGTCTGCACACTGCGAGGTAGTTTCTTTTATTACTGAGGTTGTCGTCTCATTACTGCACACAGATACTGCTCCCCTCTTTGTCTTTACTCCTCACACACTAATGTAGAGAGTGTAATGGGTTAGAGTTAGAGCTAACCCGTTATCCAGCAGACCAATGACAACAATCTGTGTTTTATTGTTCCAACTGTTCCAATTGTTTGATTTTATATTCATGCTGTTTGTGGGAAACTCAAACTCATATTTTCTCCGTACACACACAACACACATTTTTTTGTTAACTGTCAATCCAATGTTATAAAAGGTAAAACCAAAAAGTATTCTCATTGTGAATTAGCAATAATAATTATGTTTTTCTTTCTAGAGTAGACATGCAAATCTTCAAATGAAATAAAATTATAATTTTTTTGTTAAATTGGAAAAGAGTCAACTTTTGCAACTATCCTCTTTTTTATCAATTATGGTTGAAAGAACATTGTACAAACCAGCATTGCACAGTCAAAATAGATCTATTCAACACTGTTTTGGTTGCCATCATCAGATCATTCGTTTCTCTTTCTTTGGAACACAAAACAGAGAAATGAATGATCTGATTAAAACCTATAATGGCTGAAACATCATCAAATAAAGAAGATCTATTTTGAGTGTGAAATGCCCTCTTGTCTCTGTAATTGTTCAGCTTTGCTCCTCATTAAGAGCTTTTTGTTGTGAAACATTGTCTTTTCAATAGGACGTTGTATTCAAAGACAAATGAAATGATGCAATACCTCCAGCCTTCTTCTTTGCGACAGGACACACTCTGCACCTGTGGCGGTAGATCCGAGTCGTCAGGTTAGATATGAAAGAGTGATGGAGGCAGCTGCTGGACACTGACCTGAACGTGATCCACGTCCAGACAAAACACATCCAGCTCCGCTCTGCTCTGAGCCGCAGGCCTCTTTGAACCATCGCAGACGAAAACACTGGAAACCTGAAGACAAATGAAAAGTAATGTGGACCAATGAAAACTGTTTGATTTGAATGATGTTTGTAGATTTTATACAATGACTGAAATGACTAACATATGGAACAGTCGGGGGAATGGCCTCTACCTTGGACCATACTGCACTGCAAAAATCTTTATGCAGACACATTTTAACTGCAAAACAACAATTTGCGGATGGGACAAAGCAAAATGATCTTGTTTTAAAAAGAAATGTCTCCTTTGGAATCAGAAAAGAAAGCAACAGTTCACGAAATAAGACTAGAATCTTAAACGCTGCTCATTTTGCTAATTGCTTTGCAGCGTGTTCGTATAAACTGAGCCTTAGTAAACTGGCTGGAACAGTGTTTTCTCTTTGATTACAAGTTCTTAAAAATACTCTGCACAAGTCGGACACAGCATGTATAAAGTCAGACTGTGGAAAATTGTCAACAAGACGAAGTATACACAAATCTGCACTTGCTTTTCTGCTATCCCTGGGAGCTCCCTCTTACAAATGAGCAGTTAGTAAGTGTATGGACTTACTAACTCCTATGGACAATGTTTTGTAAATTGAATTGAACGGAAAAAGACATTAACAAACCATCAGCAGAAAGTTGTGTCTAGCAGCATATTGGGATTGAAAGAAAATCATGACAGTATTTGCGTTCAAAGATTTTCCTGATACGGTATGTTTTCTTACTCTAGTGATTTAAATATTCATAAGGTCCAACTCAAATCAAATTATAGACTGCTTTTAACCGTGTGAAGAAGTGAGGTCTTACTAATTCATGAATGTCCTTTTCAGACCAGATTTCCATCAAAGAGACCGGTATCCAGTAGTAGGCATCTGTGAAAGAATCCTGACGTTAAAACAAGAAATGCATTTTCTAAGAATCGCCAAGAAAAGTCTCACGGTCAGTGGAGCAGAGCTGGTGGATGGAACAGTTCAGACCTGTGAAAGAAAACACGTTATCCCATATTAAATGCATAACAAATGAATCAATAATAAAATATACAGCACAACATTCATGTGGTATTGATAATATTGGTCTTCAATTAGAATTAAAGAAACATTTCAAAGGCTATTCAGGAAAGAAGGACCAACTGTGTCCAAGTGTACGTACAATGAGCCTTTTCTATTTGGCCAGAAGCATCACTCACTTTTGGAGGGAACTGGGGATGCTGTGGTGCCTGAGACTCCTGAATTATCAGAAAAACAGAAAAAAAAAGAAGAGTTATTTTGCATTTAATTTGGGAAACAAAACAGAAATGGTCTTAGTACAAAAAGCTGTCCGTTTGAAAGCAACACAAAAGGCAGAGGAAACATTCACCATGACAATAACACGGCGACAGGAAAAGAGAGAAAGCTGAAACATTATTCAAGCTTTGATAATCGATAATACACCCAACAAAACGTAAAGTTCAGCAGACGCACCGTTCTGTCGTCAGAACCTACGACGAGAAAAGTAATATAGAAAAGGGGTGTTTTTTTAAGCTGGGGTACACGATCTTGAGCATTGAAATCAAAGTGAGGATTGACGATCACTGTAGCGCTTTATGTGTCGGTGAGCGCATGCCCAGAATGGTCGTGGTCAACCCAGACTAATTAAAGTGGCGGACGGGAGCTTCCAGGTTTTTTGGTAAAAAGCAGTGCATTAAAGTTGGTTTACGTGCTCTTGTTAGTAGTTATACCCATGAATGAGGAGGCAGCCGTTAGACCCGCTCGTTTATACAGACGGTTGCATGCGCCTTGTATTTATTCTCGATTTGGTCACGAGTAATGCGTCCGGCTTCTGAACCGTCTCGAACATTTAAACTCTGGTTTCCCACATTTGCATTAGTTCTGAGAGTACGCTACAGTGTTGTAAGAAAAAGAAGAAATGACAGTACAGTAACAGACACTGACCACAGGGGAGGAGGTGGTCCCTCTCGCTGGCCTTGGTGCTGCTCTCTCCCCAGTACTCAGACGACCAGCCGATCACAGAGCCATCCTCGCAGGCCTCGTGCTGCTCTACATCGGCCCACACTCTGAACAGGTAGAGCTCCACTTGCCCCAGGGCAGTTGTGGCAGACTCTTCCTGCTGCCCACAGCCCAGCCACAGAGAGCCAGCCGAGGGGATGGCCCCAGCGATCACCACCCTGTGCCCCACCAGCTCACCGTCCACCTGCGACAGCAGTGACAGGTGTGTGGGGAAAGAATATTAAAAACATCTATTTCAACACTGAGCAAAGATACAGAGAAATGACTGAATCAAATCCATCACAAAGACTCTAAGATTTAACGAGAATGTTGGCAGCCAATGGAAGTCAAATATGTTTATGTTATCTAACTCTAGACACGAGAGCGTCACCTGCTGCATGTATTTTTATTTTAAACAACATTGCTTCCCCATGAAAAAGAGACCTGGAGTGGTTTTTGGCTCTATCCACCCTGAAATCAAGACCTTCTGACACAAACATGTCACTGCTCCTCTTCTGTCTCTAAGATCCTGCTTCACTGAATCTTAACACTCTTAACACTAACAATCTGTTTTGGCAATTTCTCCAGTGAACCTTCATCCTTTACACTTGTCTGACTGTAAGAGCTAAGAAAAAGGCCCATAACAAAGACTCACCTGCAGGCTGAAGGAGCTGCTGGGCACGTCCCTGCGCAGACACACCTGATGCCAGTCCTGCTGCGACAGCCTGATGGGGAAGCGGTGTTTGACCCTCAGGAGCCAGGCGTACAGGGCCTTGTCGTCGCCTTGCAGCCCCAGCTCTGGCATCAGGCCGTGGACCGAGCTGTAGGTGAAGGCGCTCCAGGCTCCGGGCTTCAGCACACGCACGTTCACACACACCGTCATCCGCTGCAGCAGCGGGAACACGGCGCTCTCCTGAAGCCTCCAGCTCTCCTCACAGCCCTGCAGCACAACCTTTGTGTTCCCGAGGAAGTAAGCCAGAGCTGGGAATGATATACACTTTATAGATCAGATGTATACAGAGAATATCATGGAGAAAAGTCTTTTGTATAGGCTTTTTGTCAACCAAAAAGTGAGAGGTGGATGGGCAACCAGTGGGATTTCAATGTTGTGTATTGACTGAATATCTACAGAATAATACTGTAGCTTTACATCAGCAAGACAAACAATCTGATATTGAGGTTTTATTAAATAGCGACAGGTGCCAAAACATTGCAAACTATACACCCAGAAAATATTGTGTTTTCAGGAAATGTTGTGATTTTGTTTATCTTCAAATGTGTTTACAAAGTATAAGAATATTCTGTACACAAACAAACTATTTGGCGTTGCTCTTGAACCGGTCTGCTCCCTCTGGATCTAAATGATCGGAGCGAGCCATGGATTTCAAAGGTGCCTCGTAACTTTGCCTTAGCAAAAGAACTTCAGAACAGTAATTATAAATAAAAATACTAATATATATATACTCTTAGCTCACTTGTTTAGTTTGAGTATTTGTTTTTCCCAAAGGCTCCACTGTAGCATACATGTACATACATGATATTAGGTAATGGCTCTCAAATACATCTGAAGCCTTGTTTCAGTAGTCTCCACATTTGCAACAAAATAAAAAATACATATTTTATACATCAAACTAATATCCATAATATAGTTATGTATTCTCCTTGAAATATTGCTAAAGAGATACTGAAGATTAAGATTAGGATATGCCGGTGGAATTGTGTAGAATAAAAGCTATTGACCGACATTGTTTTCTGGCAACACTGGATAGGCCCTGATCCGTCCTGACATGAAAAGAGGATCAGCCAACGTCACAACACTGAACAATTACTGGGCGTGGAGACGATACTCCAACATCAGCACAGTGCAACCTACTTAAAGGTGATCATTCATCATAGGCTTTGGTTAATCTTATCTATTGCGGACTTCCCCGCCCGACCCGCCTGGGAGTGCTTCAGTCCTGCACCGGACCTGTCCACGTTGTCCAGCGGCCGCTGGTCCACGTTCTGTAGCTAGCTTAGGTCCTGGATCATTAGCCTGTCCGTCCGAAGGAGCGGATCCCTTTCTCAAATGGGTCTCCCTCCCTGTGGGTTTCCCTAGTTCTCCCCAAGGTTTCTCACTTTTTCCCACTGGGTTTTTTAAGAGTTTTTCCTTGTCAATACAGGAGGGTCTTGTTGGACAGTTAGTGTCCAACAGAAAGGATTGGAGATGATCAGGACACTTTAGCATTCTACAACATGTATGGACATTTTCTTCTGTGTGTGCTTTATATTCTTCATGTGTTTTAACTGTTGATTCTCTGATCTGTGTTGGTGATTTCAATGGTTTTGTTAAGTCCTCTGAGATGACTTCTGTTGTGACCTAGGGCTATACAAGAATAAATTGTATTGTATTTTATTACACATAATTTATAATAAGGATCTAAGCATGTAATTGGAATGATCTAGTGAACTCCTTTATTAACAACTTAAAATGAGCACTTGTTTGACTATCTGCTACCTGTTTTAACCCTTTAATGACAGGAAAAATCTGATATATTTTGAGAGAGACCTACACAGGCAATGCATTCTGGGATGTTGCAGATTTGCAACATTGGCCTGCTGTGGTAAATAGAGCTGACCCAAGGGGGAAAACAGAGGAGTTGGCATGTGCTGTATCTATATAAATTCATCTTTCATTTTATGCAGGACTGGTTTCAAATTATTAGAGGTTGTTGTGTTGCTAAAGCTCAAATAATTCCAGCAAAAATATGTCTCTGGAGAAGTTAGGTGAGGGGTAACGCCCTGTTGATTTGTGATGATCAAAGCATTCTGGTAAATCTGTGTTGACAATAAATGTGTTTTTCATCTCTGCTCATGCTCCAGTCAAAATAATGCTACAAGATTCATGAAAACAAACAAAGAACTTGAACAGTAGTATTGGATGATTTGGTTCTGATATGTTTGTTTGTTATATATAGAATCATTATATCATTGCCATGTTAGTAAAAGGAAGTCACAGAGTAGGAAATGTATATTAAGCATAAGCAATTTATGATAGAAAGACCTTTGGAACAAGTCAGCATTTCTTTGCACTCTGTGAGTCACTATTGGACACTTTGGGATGAGAGTTGATTGGCTGAGTGAGGTTGGACTTCTATTTTTATTTGTTCACTTTTCTGTCTGAAAAATCTGACTCAAGGATGTGTCTAAAGGTTTTAGAGCCAGGAACTGTATTACATACAGTAGTGCATTCGTTGTGGATAGAAAGTTAGGTACCCCAGCTTTAAGTGAATAAGGCCACAATGCATTAGATCAGGTGTGATGATTGTACTCACCGCTCGGCTGAGGATTGACCAGCATCCAGATCCATATCACTAAAGAGAGAGTCCTCAGTCCTTGTTGAACCTGCAGTGACATCCTCCTGGAACAGATACGAAACATCTTCATTTGGAACATGTGATGTTTGTGTCTGTCTTTGTGTATCGTGCAATAGAAACACATGTCCTAGTCTTCATAATGTATTGGGAGAGGCTCGACTTCCGTATTCCCAAACCGTTGCGTGCGGCAAACCACTCTGTGTCGGGAGCCTTTGGGATGATGTTAAAGGTCCTCATTCAGCAGAAAACTAAACCTTTCAAATATTGTCTGTGCCTTTGTGTTTGTGCCCCACTGACTGCAGGAGAGGGAGGCCCCAGCGGTATAGGGTTTCCCCATTCACTTCTATGACTTACAGTAAAGTGGCATGTGCAGTTCAGTTTGTGATACGCGCCTCTTTACAGACGTACTGCTAATGTAAACACATAACTTTAGAATGAAATATCAGAAGGATTCATAAATGCATTATTATTCAAGAGCATCCCAAGCCAGACGTGTGCGAGAAAATTGTATTTTTTCAAAGTAGGTTTAGGTTCAAACTGGGGACTTTGGGAATAGGTTTTCCAAAAGGTTTTAGAACTGGGCTGTAAGAAACAAAGGATCATGTTTGAGAGTTTAAGTCTAGAAATGTAAATTATTACATCATTAAAGCTATTTGTTTATGCCTGATGTCTGACTTAAAGACTTGGCAGTTGTGGCCACACCTGCAGGTGAAATCCAGATCCCTCAGACCTCTGAAGCTAAGTAGGACAGGGCCTGTACAGTACTGTGATGGGAGACCTCTGGGAACACCAGGTGCATCTGTGGTTGTGTCCTTAGCACCCACATTAGAATGAGTCTGGTGTGTGTGTGAATGGTTGTTGGTGGTGGTGGGAGGGGCTGATGGCACAGACTGGTTGGCTCGCTTCTGTGTGCCCCAGGGCAGCTGTAGCTACAGTAGTAGTTTATCACCACTGAGTTTGGAGTAGAAGAATGATTACATGTGAAGAGTCCAAAAAGTATTGTATAAACCAATGCATTATCACTTGAGAAAACAGTTATTTCTTGATTGAGGCCAAGTCATTTGTTCAATGAATATGCTAGAAATAAGTGCATGATGATGACTTTTATGTAATCTGATGTCCATGGAGATATTATCAGTTTACCAGTAATGGCCCACAGCACTCTTTTGAACTGATATCTCTCAGTAATCACCGAGTTGAATCTTCCACAGTGGATCGGATGTTTTTGGTGATTGTTCTGCTAAACAACACACTACAGAAGTCTTTCATCAGTGATGCAGGTTGTTTGCCCCAATGTTCTCTCATCTCATTAGGACACACGTTAACTTCTAGCAAAGACCCCTAGGACCGTTTGGGCTGAGATCTGATCGGCTGAGTGATGGTACTCTTCTCCTTTGACTCTTGAAAATGAAACAGATGCCAAATAGATGCAGCTCCTCATACTCTTGCAGTGACCAGCCCAAAGAGAGGAAATTACACTCTCCTTTCTAAGTATCTGAGCAGAGCAGGAGCACCTGGCCTTCATTTCCTCTGAGTCCCCGTTGTACATTTGATTTGTCCTAAACCATTCTGACTGACTGTTTGTTCTGCATGTGCCCGGACTCCGTGTTCATGCTGTCTTTAAACGCAGGGTGTGTCCAAACAATGTCGCCTTACAAGTCGCCTTTCCCAGCTCCAAAAATACACCAACCAAATTCTCACACATTTTGCTAAAGATGTATGACAGGCCGCCATCAACACTATTAAAACATTATTATTGAATCAGTCATGCACCCAGGGCTCCGTGTGCTCTAGCTCAGTGTTTTTCAACCAGCATGCCGTGTAATGTCTAGAAATGGTCCGATATCTCCTAATTGGTCAAAATAATGCAAAAAGAAAACATTGTAGAAAATTAGGCAGATGTTTTTGTGCTTGTTTGATTTTCTATTTACTTTCCATTGTCAATTATGGCTGCAGAGTTTCATTTGCATATCAGTATCATTTGGTGGTGTGCCATGTGATTGTGTTTACTGAAAAAGTTGTGCCACGGCTCAAAAAGGTTGGGAAACACTGCTCTAGCCCATGTGGAGGATGCAAAGAGTACATACAGTAAGTAAGTAATAGTAATTGAAACCTTGAAATATTGAGATTTTCCCCACTGGATTTCTAATCTTATCTTATCTTATTCAAATCTACATGTATAGCTTCTTCCGCTGTTTTTTCCCAACTGTATGAAACAAAAGTCACAGAAAGTTGTCGCACTCAGACGTGACAAATGGTTGTAATGGTGAGAGCATTTGAAACAGTATCTACAGCTTCAGGCTACGCAAAGTCCCATTGTCACTATCACACATTATCACGTGTTCCTGAGTAAACGGAGAAAAAACACAGCCATTTATGAGGAAACTTCGCTGCTTTTTTTCTTTTGAATCACGTGTTGAACTGTTGTATGTTTTATTGTCTACTCTGCTTTCTCTCTTTGAACCGTGCCATGCTTTTAAACCTGCCTTGTCTCGTAGCGATCGACAACACACGGGTTATATCTGGTTATGTTAGTGTAGTGTTGTGTTATTATGTTAAAGCTGTGGGTCCTAACCGACAATTAAACAATACGTTTGGCTTGTCTCAACAGATCATACTTGTAAGAAAAAGTTTGGAAGTTAGGTCCCCCAGCTTTAATGTGCAGTCAGAATGTGCAGTGTGTGAAGGTATTTTAGGTCAATCTTGTTTTGGTCTCTTCATTCCAAAGGTTACACTGAGTACCTTTGATACCGAAAATACATGCAACTATCAAAGCGCAATTCTAAAACCAAATGGTTAAAATGTGAAAGGATAGCAGAATGTCCAATTTAGCCGAAGTCTGAAAACAATTTAAGTTCTAAGAGGCAAAAGAACCTTTTTTATCCACTTTTTATACAAAGAGATTTAAAAAGCAAGCGTCCCTGTGATCTCTGTGTTCAGAGCCAGAGTTCCAGTTGAACGTGTCAGATAATCAGACAGTTGTAAGTCTTTAGAAATCCACTGAATGTCCCTTTTTCTACCTGTCACCCTGCACTATGTATAGAACTTTGCACCATTCATATAGATTTTTTGTTGAAAGATTGATATTGAAGCATTTACAGCTAGCTAAGAAACATAGCGGTTACTTATTCTGTATGTTTTGTGTGCTCTTACTACTGTCGTGTTCTGCGCAGCAACATTGAAATTTCCCAACTGTGTGAAGGATCTCTTATCTTACCTAAATAATGCACACTGGAAATTTAAAATGAAACCCACGTTTGTATAAAGTTTTTTTTTTATTATTTGTCTGTTAGACTTACTGTTGTACCAACGCTGTTAGTATTCGTTGAAATGTCTCATGATTGTTTTGACAACAACAACAAAATCCAAAAAAGAACCAGAGTTGCCGTGATGGACCTTTGCATATTGTATATTATAAACTGAAGGATTGTATCTACACTCTGCTGAATGCACTGTAGGTATTTCTGATATGAATGTCTCTGTCTTGAGTTCAGTACAAAGTGTGTTATACAAATAACCTTGAACCTGGCTTTGTTATAAAAAAAGAGTGAGGAGAGAACTGCATATACTGTAATTAATATAACGGCATTTTAAACAGAGGATTTCTGTTCTGTAATTTAATTGAATAATAATTTGTGGAATGTTCCAAATAGTCCAATAGTAAATCTTTATTCGTCCCACTCTGGGTACAGTACATGCTAAGTGTCTGTTGACAAATTGTTTATATGAAGTGTTAATGAATGACCTGATTTGTAAAAAAAAATAAAAAATAAAAAAGGTCCTGTATTAGTATTCATTCTATAAGCTACTTCTACATCAGAATCAGAATCAGTTTTATTGCCACGTAAGTAACAAACAAAGTTACCACTTGAAATTGTTTTGGCAGAGAGCGTACCTCCACATCTTTATGGCATTCATGTATTTATACAAATTACAATATGATTAAAAGAAAAGAGAAAAAGTAAAAAATGCACAAACATCAATACAAGATTATGAAATATAAATTATTTTTTCTATAATAAAAGACAATGAAACATCCATTATTATTTGATCTAATAAAGGATTATGAGATATCAGTAATGATTGGATCTTTGCTGTGGTGAAACTGTTCAGAAAGATAGAAAAGTCACAGATCTAGAGATACCTGTTGTGTTGAGCCTCTGTATCCGGTGGTGTCTCTGTGTCAGCGACGCAGACCCTCTTTCTCAAATGCCTGCTCCCAATGCTTCTCCCTCATTCTCATTATGGAGCATTTAAATTCGGGAAACTTTGACTTATATATTTAAGGAGTTCCTTCCTTCTTGTCCTTATTTGCACCGTTCACCTGCCCTCTGTATCTCATAGCGTGTGTGGAGGAAATCACTGCTGCAGAATATGCCTTCAGGAGACACACAGCGACACACCCATCTGTGAAACTGGAGAGCGGAGACTGCAGCTCAGGAAGATATATACTGATATATACTGATACACACTGATATATACTGATATATACTGATACACACTGATATATACTGATATATACTGATACACACTGATACATACTGATATTTACTGATACACACTGATACATACTGATACATACTGATACACACTGATACATACTGATATATACTGATACACACTGATACATACTGATATATACTGATACACAGTGATACATACTGATATATACTGATACACACTGATACATACTGATATATACTGATATATACTGATACACACTGATACATACTGATATATACTGATACACACTGATACATTCGGATATATACTGATACATACTGATAAATACTGATGTGTACTGATAAATACTGATGTGTACTGATATATACTGATACATACAGGTATATACTGATGTGTACTGATACACACTGATACATACAGGAATATACTGAAGTGTACTGATATATACAGATATTTACAGATACATACAGATAAATATACAGTCTGCCCCCGCTGAAAGATCAAGGCTCCTCTGCAGGAGGATCAGTGAGGGGCTGGTGCTCAGTGGACTGGGTGCAGCTCTGACTGCCACCCCCTGGATTAAGGGGAAGAAAATGGATGGATGGATTTACAGTCTGACTCGTAATGCCTCCATATCATCTTTGAGCAAAAACAAGTCCTTCTTAGATCGACACATGTTTTGTTCTGCCGACTAAAGTACAGTGTTTTTGGACATACGAAACATGAGATGGACCCAACTTCAGAATCAGAATAGTATAAAACTATGTTTTCTTTAAAACTAAATCAAGAGCTACATTGACATGATTAGCATACATGGATATCTTAAACTTCATGATGGACAAACACGGCATTATGAAATCAGAATAACATTCATCAACATTGATGGACATTGGTCTCCCATATGGACCAATACCTTTATGTTCTATATGTTTAGTGTTTGAACAGTTTGATTCTCTGACCTGTGTTGGAGATTTCAAAGGTTTTGTTAAGTCCTCTGAGAGACCAACTGTGATTATTATTTTTTATTTGCGAGCCGTAGGAATAAGTTGCACAAATGTATAGCCACTGCTCAAAGAAGAGTCAGTGTTAAAATAGTTTAGTAGTTACTGTCGGCCACTGTTGCCTCCAACTATCGTGAACATATTACTGTCACCACAATTATGCTCATCACACTTAAACACTGTGATTATCAGTGACGTAACTGAGAATCGCTCACTGATACATAACTCTGGAAATGAAGCCATCCCTTCTGCAGGTACAGCTACATATTTGGAAGTGTTGACCTTGGAGACACAGCTGGAGTCCAGGATGTGGGTCCAGACAGTTCGTGGACTCTTCTTTCTCTGTGTGCGTCATTGTCAAATACAAACAAAGATTACTTCAGAATTCTTGTGGGTAAAACCAGTCAAACTTCTTCTCACACACAGAGTGGGCTGACATGACCTCAGAATGTGAACAAGAACAACTACTTGGCCCGAGGTAGGAACAAAAGTGAGGAGAAAAAAACGATTCAATAATACTCCACCTGCACCTGTTTAGTTAGTGCAAGAGTGTAGGTAATGAAACAGCCACTAGAGGGCAGTCCACATGTATCCACTGGGATGCAGGGCCACAGAAAGCAACAGTTCAGTGGAGAATAGAAAACTGCAAAGTGACGCAGCAGATTTGAGGAAAATATAGTGTTTAGAGCTGAAACTGAAACAGACAGGAGATATTTATGATAATATACATTCACCTGGAAGAACTGACCTGCAAACTGACCATAGGATAAGTAGCATCAACGCAAAGACCTGTGTAAATGCTGACCTTTTTTTAAATCTTTTTCTATTTGCAGAATCAGCAGCATTAGGCCTGATATGAAAAGATGGTATATTCAGTGTGAGCGGCAGTTTTTTCGATTTTCTAAAACTAAAAGTAATGAAGATGCTCTCAGCAATTAAAAATTAGAGTTTGTATCTGCACCGTTTCAGTCTGTGACAAGAGGCCGAGAATAGAAAGTAAGACTGAGGTTTGAAAATAAATATATCACTCATGAAAGAAAATCCAATTAGTTGCCTCGCTTCTGACGTGCCCCATGGCAGCTGTGGCTAAAGTATATGGACTAAAAGAATAATGCAGCGTAGTGTCTTTGAAAGTTCAAAAAGTCCTGTATAAAAAACTGATGCATTCATTATTATTAGTTAATAATAAACACACATATCAACATAAGTGCATTTTATTTGATAAGATTCAAAGTATAAATATTTGGGTCATACACAATCATATTAGTTTCTTTGAAGCAGTAACATAGTGCAGCTTAATATGAGCAGCAGGAGCCAAACTCTACGATCAGACTTGATGCGTATCTGCAGAGAGTGTGGGAATAAAAGTTATTTCTTTAAATGCATTATAACTCTCAAATTTAAACAATAAAAACACAACATGATGTGACAATGTCCACGAAACAATCAAACATAACAAACGTTGGTTGTGTTTAAAGGCCTCATACCTGCAACATTTCCACAATATGAATTGAACATTTCAGTTTGGGGAAAGGCAAACAGAGCAGCATCGGCCTCTGGAAGACACTGCACTGAGGTGAAGGAGCTACAGCATCAGGTTGTCATGGTTGCATAATATTCCTGATACTGTAATGCTTCTTTTGCACTGTCATGAAATAAGCGTCCAATCAACTATTCAGTCTGAGCGAGAGAAGCAAACCTGGAAAATACACAATAATTTACCTAATCTGTCTTCATTTTTTGATGGGTGCAGAGAAAATGTATCAGAACAGAACTGGGGACAAGGTTCTAAGGGACAGAAAAATAAAACAAAATCTATATGAGTAAAACTATGGGTTTTACTTTCACAGTGATCCATGTGTTGCAAGAACATTAAACATGTTGTTATTATGATGACATTCGCTCAGAATCATCCTCACATGTGACATTTATGGCATGAATCTCGCCCATTGACAAACACAACAGTATCACTTCAATCAACGCTGCTCCTCCATCTTGTATTGTCCAGCCGTACAGGCCCAATCCTGATTAGCTTCTGACGAGTTGCAAGATCGGCCTCTCTCTGGGTGTTTGATTTAGCGACTTACATTTCTTTTATTACTTAGCAGTCTAATTTTGCTTGCAATAAAACTGAAAATGAAAAACAGTAGTTTCTTTGGCCCCTGAGCTGCTGGTGTCAGTGCAGCTGGTGCCATTTCAAACACAGCCGTTGCATTTGCAGTGGTTTCTCTCACTGTGATGATTAAGGTTTTCTGCTTTCCTTAAGATCTCTGTTCCCCCTCCTCCGCTGGCCACTCCAGTCATCTCAGAATCCCCCATCTGCCCATCACCATGGCAACCCCTGTCCAGAAAGCAAACATCATCTGGAGACAGACCAGCGGACACCAGTGTGCTCTGGAAACACTTAGTCACACAGCTGTATGCACGTGTATACGTTTATGGATATTATTGGGTTAAGTGTATTTTAGTTCTAGTTTAGGTTGGGTTTGGACAAAAAGACTGTATTAGGGCTGCACCACGACAGCAAAATATCTAATTGTGATATTTCTGATAAACAAAAATAAAAAGTTTTTACTATTGAAAAAGCGTACATATGAATCAATTACCTCCATCTCGTACTGTACAAACATGCCACACATTTCAGAACCTGTTTTTAGAGATCTACAAATACATGATCTATTATAGATATAATACAAGATTCAGAAACTATTATTTTTTTTTAGATAATATAAATTCTTCAATTTAATAGTTTTTATCTTTTCTTACAAAATTCTTTTGGTCAGACCTGAGATGTGAACATTTTGACAGTTTACACAAAATAGGAAAAATATTAGTCTCACTTAATAATACCTTTACCCGACAACGATAAGAAATCTCGCTTGTTCCATTGACACATCTCTTGTTATTTTGCTGATCTTTACTTTTGAATGCGCTGGTAACGGCAGCAAGTCCTAAGAAGCTCAACAACAGTTGTTGTATTGTGTTTTACATTGTTATTTTTCTTGCTTTATTTTTAGCTGCGATGTTGCTGCAGTACAGTGTTCATGGTTTGCACTGGTCCAGACAAAGCATTTAGCATTTTACTTTGGACTCGAAAGTTGTCCGAACCAAGCGGCTACTGAGCCTCTGCTGGTGTGACCTAAAGTGCTGTTAAATATTAACACTATTGTTACCTATTTTTAGAATGCAAAGGAAGGTTTCTCACCCATCATCTGTACTTCTTAGCAAGTTTTCCCGACGTTTCGTCCTCAACCTGGGGACTTCTTCAGGGAAAGAATTCTCGGACCGCGCGTTGGATAAATCTCCAACGCGCGGTCCGAGAATTCATTCCCTGAAGAAGTCCCCAGGTTGAGGACGAAACGTCGGGAAAACTTGCTAAGAAGTACAGATGATGGGTGAGAAACCTTCCTTTGCTTTGACTAATCCCTGTACGACTGAGGGCTTACACAAACTTATTTTTAGAATGATCTATTTCAGGGGTGGCCAACCCCCATATGGCTCTTTGGCTGGTTCCATGTGGCTCTCGGGCTTTCATATGACAAGTGTCAAAAACGCCTCAGCGGTGGTGCTGCCATTCATTCCCTTTGTGGCTTTTACCCAAGTAGTAAAGGCCAACTCCACTCCACTCTCCCTGGTTTGATTTTTTAGTAACGGCTTGGCCCTGGTTCTAGCTGGGCCGAGTAGATACCAAAACAATCTGACGTCGTCAAATGTCAATTCTGATTGGTCAGAGGCGCTGTCAATCACTCTTCAGCTGCTGCATCAGCTGTTGCTAAAATTATAACAAACAACATGTTGCGTCCGTCCGAACGGAAAACAATTCATTGGTCGCTGGATGCGGCAGCCTCATCTCTGCCTTGTCCCAGATGTTGAGTGTGAGAGAATGGTGAGTGTCTGTCTTCAATCAAATGAAAATCTGGTCTTATACTGAACACGTGTCTGTGGCTCAAAAGTCTAGAACAGCTAAAGTGGTGTTGATGTTATGTGTCCTATCTATATCTTTTACAAAACGTAGTTAGAAAGTAAATCATGGAATAATGGTTCAATAAAGACAGTCGTTTTGTTGTAGATTGAAAGAACTCATTTCGGAATCAGAATTGACGTTTGCCAACGTCAGATTGTTTTGGTATCTATTCGGCCCGGCTAGAACCAAGGCCAAGCCGTTACTAAAAAGTACCGGGTAGCGGCTAGAGTGAGCTGGTGGAAACGCCCACAAACCGGGGAGAGTCGAGTCGAACCCTTTAGACTTGTAGAAGTCAATTTCTGTCATTATCATGTTGGCGTGTGACAATAAATCAGGCTGAGCAGAGGTGTGTGTGTGTCTACTGTAAGGGATGAGGTGTGTGTGTATGTGTGTGTGTGTGTGTGTTAGTTAGGGATGGGGTGATGTTCATGTGTGCCTGTTTGTATGATTTGGCTCTTTGCAGTAACACAGTCAAAAAAATTGGCCCCGACTGGTTGGCCACCCCTGATCTATCTATTAGTTTTGTTTGCGTGGATGGATGTGTTTCTGCTGCTACTGGACATCTGAAATTCTCTTACAGAGATCAACAATGTATCTATCAATCTATCTTTTGTCTCTTTTTTGTTGAACTTAAATAATTGTAGTCTTCGCGTTTGCTATTTGCCACCGTGATAGATAATGATTTGATTATTGTGACCACATCCAAATGTCAAATTATTATGATTAATAATGCAGTCCTGGATTCTTTAAAATGAAAACCTGGATTTTTGAGGGTATTTTGGCATCCATGGTGCCAGGTGTCAACATGCAACTACTTCTTTCATATTTACTTTCTTTGCTTTTTAAACCGCAAATAAAGGGCTGTTAATGAATAATTAGTAAATTTCTTTCCCTCCGACATTGAACATGCTGCACCTCATTCCCTGTAATCGGTGTTAGCAATGATCCGAGCCTTTGAGTTTTCACGTCACATTCATTCTGCAGATGATTTATGGGCCTAAAACAGTACGGGATACCTGCAAAAAAAACCTCTATGACGTCCACAATATTCAACCTGGGAATGCATCATTTCGAGTGTCCGGGGAAGAAGTGCTAAATTACTAAGACAAGCATGGGAACAAGCTAAATACAACTCCAGGTGTTTTTTTTTTATATATATATAAAAAGGAAACTATGGAACATGGTTCAAGGCCCTATTTGTTTATCTTGATGATCTCATATTTAAATGTTTCTCAGTTACATTTTGCTCTCGATCACTTACAGTTAGGTCCTTGTTTGTAGAAAAGTTCAAGTTAAATCATGCGAGTTTGGTTGGAGCTTTAACAATGCAGATCATTAACTCATACTGTATTTCTTGCACAATTCTATAAGTGTTAGAATGTTGTGTTTTGTGAGAGGGGATTCTAAATATCATTGAGTTAGACTGTGGTGATCTGGTCCACCACTCTCGTGCTATCGCTCATCTCCACACACTCCACCTCTTGTCGTTGCTCCTCTGCTTTATTCTTGTTTTTGGAAGGCGGCAGAAAGGTAAGGAGGGTGGGCAAAAAGGCTAACGTGTGCAAGGCCGAACAACAAGCAGTAATCATCAGGCAACGGAAAAGTGTGCTTGTCAAATTTGAACGCACCGACCCCAACGGGATTAACGATGCGCTGAAGCAAATCAAAGTCTGTAAACTTGGGATGCCGTGTCTTTCTAGAGCGACTCGAACCCAAAGAGTCCTGCTCAAGTCCCTCCCTGATGCAAAACCACACAGCAAGGGGGCGCTGCAGTCCACAGAGTGCCCCATTGCGGCGATCAGGCACAAAATGGACACGCAATCCATCTCCACACCCCATAAAGTCATGAATCCAAGGACGCCAAATTGAACTGATAAAATTGTCAGTCCGAGCCAGACTGCGACTAATGGCTCGACAAGCGCTAATGAGGAAAGAGCGAGTAAAAAAATCACAGCGAGAAGAGAGTGTCTCAAAGGTGAGCTAATGGCTGTAGAGTAGCGATCCAAGTAGACAAAGGAAGGGTTAAAAATGAGAAAACGTACTCTGGATGTGAGCGAAAGGCGACGCAGCGTATCCAAAAGTATTGACATCTCCTCGCGCTTGTTTTCCATGGTCTTTGCCACGAGGAAAATGCGTGAAGCCGCGATGTCCGGTTCCTCTCCCTGTCCGCGCTCCGCAAAAATAACGTCATCAGTAAAATGGACAAACTCAGGCTCTTTTAAGAAGCAGTGGCGTAGAGTGTTGGTGAAGTTATCTCTTGGTTGGCTTGTGGATTCGTTACGGTCCGACAGGTAGTTGAGGTACGCTTCGAGCCAGCTGATTCTCTGGAAGCCTTTAGCGTACTCCAGTAGGTCGTGCTGGACAGAGGAGTTCCAGTAGGGGGCGCTCTCGTAGATGTAGAAGCCGATGACGGGGGAGTACGAGCTGAAGTAGCGCTGTTGGGCGCGGGTGTACCAAACGGTGGAGGTGTCCATGGCAACCAGTGCGCTCGGGTCGGACCCCTGGGACAGCTGCGAAGCAGAGAAAAGTGTTTGACCATATCACAATAATTTACTTACAGAAAAGTTTAGATATGCAATTACACCTGGTAAGTAATATACAGCTAATAATTTATAATTTACAAAGGTTGTTTTGCATGACAGAAACTATGCACCCTGTGCAGTCATTGAATCAATCATTTCATAAAAGTCGATACCCTCAAAAACTCGGCGGGAATGTCCTGGTTAAAATATATAATAACATTAAAAGAGCTTCCACAAGAGCCAAAAAGCTGATACTATGGGTCAAATGTTCTTCAGCTATGTTTGTGATCTAAAAAGAACGTACAAAAATAAAAAATAGCCAATCCCACCTTGTCAATCAATATATAATTATGTTATCAAGATATTCATGACATGGAGCCCTACTTTCAAAGAAGCCAGTAGTAAATTAGCAAGTCAAGCAGCACAGATCCTGCAGAGAATGTCAAGCAGGTGGAACGAGCGTCTGGTGACCACGGTTTAAACCGCTCTCTGACGGCCACAGCACCACTGACCTTCTGTGGCATTCAAGCGCATTTAAATCACAGTCAAGCACTGGACATTTCAATGGACATTTTCTGGAATTATAAATTCCTGTAAATTTGACCATTTGGATGGTATGGATTCATTGATATTAGTGCTGTCAGAATAGTAGCCTTTCCATTGCATTTTTCATACATTTCACCAGGACCATGTTAACTCATTGCCTGCCAGCTGTTTTTGAGGATTTCCCCTGATATTCAAGACCAACAGATAATTGTGTACTATGAATATATGTGAAATCTGAATTCCAGGTTCTGAAAGACTGGACTGACTACTTTCCGCAGCAAAAAGACGTTTGTTTTTAGCTTGTTTCGTTCTCCTGTTACCCCCAATCGAGTCAAGGGAAAATGGAATCACCTCAGACAAAAAGACATCATGGCAGGCAATGGGTTAATGAAGATATTTTGGACATAATCTGCACATCTTTGTTCATGCGACAATTACGCGCTGAAGACACTTATGAAAATATGGTCGAAAGCTGCGAGTAAAGTAGCGTGTTCTGTCCCTTTAAATTGTCATGTATGCCTTGCTCTTTTAAGACGTCTTTCTTGCACTCCACTAAAGTCACTACTTCTTAGCTGTGGTGGTAAGTAAGCTGCAAAAGTAGCCACAGTAACCTATAAGGGCGGAATGATTAAAGTGAGGCAGCCACTCACTCACCACAGGTTGATTGATTGAGGATTAATTATATTGATTAATAGATTAGTTGTTTGGATCCCAAAAGCTCAGTGAATAAGGAATGTTTTTTAACAGGTGACGCCCCTGGAGAAACACATCTGTTAACACATTTTCACTGAAGTCATTACAGAGTCATCTGAGTCATAAAACCTTTTCTCTGAACCTCTTTGTATTAGTATCAATATTAGTATGATAATTGGTTACAATGAAATGCAACCAAAAGATAACCCCACCCAGACATGGGAAGAAAAATCCCCGCTGACATCACTCCCCACTCCCCCTTCACCAGTCACTCTTACACATGTGAGACTCACCTGTAAGAATCCCATCAATCCAAAGGAAATGTAAACCAGATAGAGCAGCACCACAAAGGGCTTGACGTACGTATTTGTAATCCAGTCTCCATAGCAGCGGCGCACACAGCCCAGCAGCAGGTGCGAGTCCTGAGGGTCCAGACCTGGCATGGCAGGATTGGACGGTCCACGCACTGAATTATGTCCACCGTGCACTGTGGAGTTATTCATTGTCAGCGGGTGGGCGTTGACGTGATTAGAATCGTGGCTAATTGGTTGGTTTTGTGTTTCCTCTTGGTAGCGAGTGTACATCAGATACCTGTACCACGCTGGTTTGGAGTCCAGCTGATCTTGCTTGGGAACTCTTTTGCAAAAACAGCCGTGGCGATAACCCGTTTCCAGATATCCGGTGAACACCAGACAAGAGCTGTAGAAGGACAGCGTGTATATGTAGCTGACGGCAATGGCGAGTGTGGCCGTGCGGCAGAAGAGACGAACGGCCTCCATGTTGGTGAGGGGGGAGGCGCCCAGGCCCAGGGTGAGGAGGTGGATAAGAGTGCAGCCAGAGAACCGGAGCATGACGTCCTCAAAGACAGAGGCCACTCGCTCCTTCACATGCTGGTCCTCTTTGCTCCGCCGCCATGACGACAGCATCTCGAAGGAGCCAAACAAACCGTGACCTGAGAGAGGAAGAACAGGAGAGCAAATGATTCAAGCAGAAAGGTAAAAAATAAGATTTGGTTGAGACTGGCTCTACCAGATCAACGCAGGAGTCAAATCTGAGCTGTACTCTAACCTATTTCTCAAGAGCAATTCATAAGAATCAGGAGCAATAAGCCTTCTTTACAAAAATCAAACTTGTTTAGGAGAAACACATGAGTCTGTGTTGAGATTGCATTTTTGAATTTGCTTTCCCCTGGGTCATAACATCACAGATTTTCATCACATTTAAACTGTGTATATATCAATCAATCAATCAACGTTTATTTATAGAGCGCCTTTCCTACACAAGGCAACGCAAAGCGCCTCACAACCCATATAACATCATGCATAAATCATCAAACATTAGAATTTAAGTAAACATAAAAAGACAGATTAAGAGCACAGGATATATAAAATCACACAAGTAGTTAAAAACCGTAAAAAATTAAAATCACACAAGGGATTACAATCATAAATAATCATAAATAATCATAGCGCATTAAAAAGATTAAAGATAAAAACAAATGTAAAATCATTCACTTGTATGCACAGCTAAAAAGAACTGTTTTCAGTTCAGTTTTAAAAACTGCCAGAGTAGACGCCTGTCTCACACTCTCGGGAAGACGGTTCCAGACTCTAGCTGCATGAATCTGAAACGCAGCCTCCCCATGTCTAGTTCCGACTCTTGGCACTAACAGAAGTCCAGTCCCTGTGCTCCTCAGAGCCCGAGTTGGTTCATATGGCACCAACATGTCGCGGATGTACCCTGGTGCGAGGCCATGGAGAGACTTGTACACAAGTAAAGCTACTTTAAAATCTATTCTCTGAGCCACAGGAAGCCAGTGCAGAGACCTGAGGACCGGACTAATGTGGTCGTACTTCCTGGTTCTAGTCAGGACTCGAGCTGCAGCATTTTGGATGTACTGCAGCTGTTTTACCGCTTGTTTAGAGAGACCTGTGAACAAGCCATTGCAGTAGTCCAATCGACTGGAGACAAATGCGTGGATAAGAATCTCCAAGTCTGCTTTAGACACAATGTTTTTAATTTTAGCAATGTTTCTTAGGTGGAAGTAAGCTGATGATGTCACAGATGATATGTGGCTATTGAAATTCAAGTCTGAGTCCATTATTACTCCTAGATTTCTGACCTGAGTTGAGGGTTTCAGGGAGAGAGACTGGAGGTGGCAGATAACGCTCTCTCTTTGTTTCTGAGGTCCGAAAACAATAATTTCAGTTTTTTCTGTGTTTAGCTGGAGAAAGTTATTTTGCATCCAATCACTGATCTGTTGGATACAGTGAAGGAGCGAGTCCACTGGTCCATGTTCTCCTGCTGTCAGGGACACATAGACCTGAGTATCGTCAGCGTAATTGTGATAGGACACGTTATTACTGTGTATTAACCTACCCAGAGGCAGCATGTAAATATTAAACAGGAGAGGCCCCAGGATTGAGCCCTGTGGCACTCCGCAGGTCAGGGCCAGATGGTCTGAGACACAGTTTCCGATCTCCACAAAATACTTTCTGTCCTGTAGGTAGGATATAAACCAGCTTAGGGCTGTTCCAGAAACACCAACCCAGTCCTCAAGTCTCTGAATGAGGATACCATGATCGACAGTGTCGAAAGCAGCACTCAAATCTAACAGGATAAGAACTGAGACTTTTCCTGCGTCAGTGTTAAGTCTGATGTCATTTGTTACCTTCACTAGAGCGGTCTCTGTGCTGTGGTGGGGTCTAAAACCAGACTGGAACATATCAAAAGAGTGATTGATTATTAAAAATTCTGTAAGTTGTTGATAGACAACTTTTTCTAGAATTTTACCCATGAAAGGCAGATTTGAAATGGGCCGATAACTTTTAAGTGCCAAGGCATCCAGACTCCTCTTTTTTAGGAGGGGTCTGATGACTAAAACTATATCTGTGCATTGTTGATACTGAGCAGGTTTTTGTTGGTTTGAATGAAACCCTGCAGCTACACAGCTTGTTGAGGACATACGTGAATAGGTATTAAGTCAAATGGTTCATAAAACTGAATAACCAATGATCACAGGAATTAAACACATGTCCTTTGACCCTTCTTTGATAGTGAGGATCACGCTGTTAACGTGTGGGTTAGGGTCGTTAGCCGCAGCAGTGTCGTTAGACCTGCTCCCTTCCACATCAAACAGACCTTAGTTTGTTAATGAGTTAGCATTAGGATTAGGTTATAAATCTCCAAAGCGTGGTCTGAGATTTCGTTCCCTTGAAGAAGTCCTTTAGATGAAGGAAGAAACGTCGGGAAAACGTTGCTTTGACTAATCCCTGTACGACTGAGAGTTTACACAAACGTGTGGCCATGATAGTATTTGATTACCCAGTATGTAATCAGGTAAGAGAGGCCTGGAAGCCTGCAGCCAACATCTAAAAGAACAATACAATAACAATGACATGAATGAATGTGTTATCATCACCTACACGCGGCAGAGAGTTTGATGTGAAAAGTTTTTTACACAGTTGCAGAAATGACTTCAGATGTGTTCTCTGTAGGGTTTGGTTCAATCTGGTCTGAACAGAGAGCTCTGCAAAGCACTGAAGCAGGAGAAAAACAAATTTGTTTTCTGCTTGAGTCTCCTGGGAGTTTAGGCTTTACCTGCATTCACCATGAATGACAGCAGTGTTTTACTGTTTGAATTGTACTGATACTTTTAAAACACAAAAAAAACTTAAATCTGCATACATTGTTGGTCAAAGGTAAAATGATTGATTTTACCTTTGACCAACAATGTATGCAGATTTAAGTTTTTAATGAGAGCAGAATGTTTTGTATAAACTTTGGTAAATGAAAGAGCAGCAGTGCAATCACAGTCCACATGTTTTAAGTGTGATCTATGACACATATTGATTACTTAAGTATTATTTTTTATGTTGAACATATAAATGAAACCGTGCCCTTTCATACTTGGTATTGCTCTGCACTCTGCCCTTTTACTGCAGAAATGTGGTCAAAGGCTTCACGATGGAAATAACTTCCCATGCACAAATGTTTATACAATGCTGCCGAATCCTCATCAATCATATTGCAGATTACAAAAAAAACGACAGCAAACAAAGTAAATCAGTGTAACGCAGCAGCAGTGGTCAGAATATGATTTAGATTTAATTACTCTTATGGTTCTTAGAAGGTTCTCTATGAACAATTTTAAGTGTGTGATACAATGGAAAACTAAATTTTGTATGTCGAATGATTCTATCTTCCTGCTCTATTTTTAAACAATTTGTGGGATATTATTATGCAAAATACAGAAGCACCAAGCTCCGGTCAGATAAGGTCAAATGCTGCAGAGCGGTGCTAAAAGCATTTGAACAAGACTCTGGCAGATGTCACACTCAGTGCCACATCCTTCTTCCACATTTCATTTGATTTTAACACATCTTCTCACACACCTCCCTCCTTCATCACGACGACAAAGAAAATGAAAAAAGCTTCTCAATCCATTAAAGCTATACTTCCTTGAGACAGAACCATCCCAGATGTAATAGGATGGAGAGATTGTTCCATGTGAAGCACCATTGACCTGGTTACTGGCTCTTATCAATTATTAACAACTAAACAAACTGCTCCTAAAGCCATTGATTGTTTAATAACTTGAAATCCCTAAACCACTACAGAGGTGGGCGACCTTGTAAAGCAAACAAAAACATTTTCATGTATTATTCTTATTTATCTAGAGTGTTGTGACTATTTTTAATGGAAAGAGACAATGTGACGAATCCTCATAATTGCTAAGACATCAACTGGAACAAATATATATGGGGTGAAGAAGATGACAACTGTAAACATTACATGGGGTGATTTTAAACTTGTCATAGTGTTTAGCAATGTATTGCACATTTGTACCATTTATGGCTAAGAATGTCTGATTATTTCTTGATCACGTTTGATCTCGCTTTGGAGGAATTTCCTGCGCCACAAGATAAAACCATAATGAAAAGAACCTTAAATGATATATCTATCACAAGATTCAAAGAACTTGTACAGCTGCCCACAGCTGCTGCAGTCCTTCTGTCATCGATCAAACTGTGGACTACACTATGGAGTCTTTAAAATCTGCATTAAAGCAGCAGCTCCTATAAAACAGAAAACTATTAGGATTAGATCATCGTCGCCATGGTACAGTATCCAACTGCATACTTTAAAACAGGACGTCAGAAAACTGGAGAGGCTATGTCGCCACTTCCACTCGGAGCCTGCCCTCAGGGAGTGGAAAGCGAATAAAGACAACAGTAGATTTTGTTTAGCACCGTCACTAAACTCACAAACTGCCATAGTGCCAATACCAAGCTGACTGAGCAGTGTCGACTTCTTTAATGATAAAATTACATCCATCCGTGACAAACTGGAGGAAACCACTCCTAGCGTTGGTGATGGACAGGCTGAAGCGTTGCACTTGATTTCCCACCTGGGTTCTTCAGTCTGCCCCGACAAGTTCACAGCTGTGCATCTTCTAAAGCCTCAACTTGCCTTTTAGATGCAATCCCGGCTTGGCTCTTTAAAGACACACTTCCTTTGATAATTGAGCCTATCTTATATATAATAAACACATCTATACAATGTGGCTATAACCCAAAAGCTTTTAAAACCGCTGTAATCAAACCCCTTCTTAAGAAAACAAACCTGGATAGGGAACGACTTAAAAGCTACAGACCAATCTCGAACCTCATTTTCATATCTAAAATCCTGGAAAAGCTTGTAGCTGATCAGCTTTGCTGCCACCTACAGGATAATATTTCAATCAGGGGCAACAGTGGCTCAGTTGGTAGAGCATTGGCCTTAGAGCCTGAAGGTCGTGGGTTCAAGACCTACTTCACGACTCCCACTGATGACGGCTGTCGTTGTGTCCTTGGGCAAGGCACTTAACCCCACTTTCCCTGAATCCCCTGCTGAATAATCAAGGCTCCTGTGGACTCACACCTGCAGGAGGATCAGTGAGGGGCTGGTGCT